TTTTGTTCCCAAGGCCCTTGTGATCCTCTCCCCAGGAGCGGATGCGTGTCTGTGCTGCGTCCCCTTCGGGCTGTGCTTCCGAAATATTCCCCACGGGAAAGGTCGAAGCAGCTCCTCGCTGACGGCCTTTCTTTTGAAAAGCAAGAGGAAGCGCTTCAAGGGAAGTCAGTGAGGTCAAGGAAAAACAGCAGCGATAGCAGTCTGTCACAAATAAGCAAGAATGTAATGCAGCGAATTCCTCTGCAAAATAATTTCTGAGGAAATGGAACAAATTGAAATCCACACTAGTGGATCTAGTACCAATAGCAAATCAATGATGTAAAACATTTAAATATATACAGCAGCTTAAGAGCTATCAGAGCAGCTATTTCCTATCAAATTTGGATGTGGATCTGCTCCCTAAAATACCGAGATGTTCATTGCAAAAAACACTATCAATTATGCACCATGGGGTAAGAAAAAAACTGTTTAGCAAAACCAGGGCAATAGTTTAGTACTTTGCAGTACTTTGCAGGGATTTAGAAACTCTTTGCCCTTGCAACTCATGGCAATCAGTCTTCTCTGTTCTCTGGCATCTTTCCTCTGGTAAGCCATAGCAAAAGAGGAAAAACCCAACCTTTTTGTAAGCCTTTGTAAAGTTAAGAAAACCCTGTATTTTGTCAGGACTTCCGGCTTCCCTTCTGCCTCAAACAGCAGTTAAGCTGGTATAAAATCACACTACAATAGCTCAAAGAAATATATTTGATGCTTCAATTTTTGCTACTATTTCAATTTCTCCCACTATTATTTTTCCTGTCTGGACAAAAAGATACTTGAATTATCTAGCCATCAAGGGTTTTGCCTAAGTTTTATTTGCCCTTCTCTTTTTTTCAACTGTTCACCTTCATTTCCCTTCTAACACAGTCTTCCTGAAATAAATGCAAACCCAGCATCCGTCAGTCAGAGAGGAGCTATGAACTGTATCCTTAACACAAGTTCTAAGCCAGGTGAGTTTGCCCAGGCTCGTGTCACAGGCTCTGTCCCCGCTCAAGTCTGCAAAGCCATCAGCCCGGCATTACAACCACACCGAGTTCCTTACTGAGCAATCCATTCCTTTAAAATATTTAATGTTCTTTCTTCAGCAGCCTTATTTTACAACCCAGAAAGAGTCACTCCATCCTGATGCTTAGTGCACATGTGGGGTATGCAGCTCCCAAACCTTTCATATTCCTAAGGCTTGCATATTTTAGCCATTTAATCATACGATTTTTTTGTTAATGTTATCCAAACTAACTAATCATCCTAGTTTCTTATATGAACTATATGTCAAAAGCTGAATTAAAATCACAAGGAGAAGATAAAGACAAATTAAATTAACATGGAAAGGGTTTTCTCCTACGGAATCTGGTTCAAAGTCAGAATCTCGAGGGCTCCAGTGGTGAACATCCTTTCACACTGTCCCAGCAGATAGGGCTTTGCCCTTCAGCAAGCTTAAGTCAAGGCTCTACCTGGATCATCAGTGTTGTGAGAAAACCTGGCTACCACCAGAGCTCTGGAGCAGAGAGCTGTGTCTGTCAGCACCTGGGGTTACTGATAAAATGCTGCTACATGCCTCACTGACCACAGCTACACTCAAAACAAGATGCTTTTCATCATTTATACCTCAGGCATTGACTCCTGCCTACCGGTATCTTTTTGCTCAGTCACTGTGCTTTTTGCAGGCGCTGTTGGACAATCTGTGACCAAGAAGAGTCAGGCAGAAGGGCAAGATGCCACTTTCATAGAGAAGATCTACACATATCTGCACTACCCTGAAACTTTTACTATCAAGGGGTACCTTCAGCTTTGTGCTTCTTCCAGGACGCAGGCTATTGGTGATCATCTGACTTGAGACATCATGACAACTGAGTTGACTCGCACTACAGAGGCATTAGCCCATCACGAGAACTGGTCTGAACTGCATCATTTCAAAGCCAGCCAGCCACGTTTGCAGTTGCTTCTGTGGCATCCCAGAAGTACCAGCATCTCAAATGCAGTACCTGAATACAGGATCATCCTACCTATTACACATACGTTGGCTAACATTCAAGCTATTGAGTAGTAACAGCAACTTGTTCTCATAGGTCCTCTTATATGAGCTTCTGAATTACGCACTGTCATCCAGAAAGTGATAAAACTACATTTATGAACAATACATAAAATTCAGACAAGACCTTTATTTACATTAGGTTTTCAAGCGCTGGGTGTTGCAACATACATAACAAAATTTCATACTACATTTTTTATAGGAAATCAGGTTGAAAAGCTGATCTACAGAATCAATTTGTCAAAACTGGCTAAGCAGAAAATGTGTCAGCTCAGTTTTAGAGTACTCTGTCAATTTTACACCATCTGCTATCGTTCAGAGTATTCCTGATGTCACGGTTATAAAAACAGAGCGCTCATGCAGGTTAATTTACAGTGAACTCCCCTAGTAAATTTTACATTCTTCACTTGTTCAGAAGAGCAGGTCAATACTCTCCACAAAGCAATTATGGATCCAAATAGGGAGAAAACAAGATCCATCTGGAGATTTTTAACAGAAAGAAAACTGGATTTAGCAAGACAAGGAGTCAGAACTTTAATTCCGTGACAAACTGATATATAATCTCTCATTCTGTAGAAAACAAGTTGTACTGTAAAGATTAATCAAGTAATTTTATTCCATATTAACATTATGCAGCAACCAATATGAGTGTCTAGGTAAACAGAAACTTTGTGAAATGTTTTGCTGCAAAGCTGACTTCAGTAATGCGCGGAAATGATAAAGTCATTAACTCTGCTCACTGCTAGAAATAAAAAAATGGCTTCAGGAGCAAATAACACTGATCCATACTGTGCTCAAGCACTAGTCAACAAAATCTATTAAACTACACAAGGGTGAAAAAAATATATATAAAAAAAATCAGAGCAGCTTTGTTATCTTACTTGTGACACCTTATTTAAATCTCAGGCATTACCTTTTTATATCAGCATAAATATGTAGCCTTCTACACCTTTTATGATGTGGTTACAGACACAAAAATGTTATAGTAGAAAGCAAGAGCTAGTTCAAAGAATTTCAGACTTTGAAATCAGCAAGATACAAAGCTAAAATTCATACGTTCCTTTTCAAGTTATGAATACTTTCACTAAAACATAAATATTTTAACATATATTAATTTTTTCTGACATTCAAAATTGTAAAGTCAATATGGCAGAATTATTGTTAAAAGCACATATTTACAAATATTCTTTTTCCCATACATAAAGTATTTGGCATAATTATAACAATCTTACTGCATACACAACTGTTTGCTTCTTTTTCACATAATGGTACACTCCTTATTAAAATTTACCAATTATGTACAAAAATACTTGAACATTTATTATAGAAAACCTCTATAACTACCATCAACAGCTTGTAACTGCTGAAGGTTTAATTGAGAGAATATAAAAAGTGGTCACTTTCTTCCAGTTAAACTATCAACAAATCAAACACAGCTAAAATCAACATGAGCTTCCCAACAAAAGAGGGAGAATATTTTTAACAGCATGATTTAAAATGCAGTTCACACATCTGTTCCCAAGCACATGTTAAACAATCAGTAAAAGAAAGAGCATACAAAAAATACATACAGAAGGTGCTTTTTTTTTTTTCCTTTTTTTTTTTTTATTTTCTTTTCTCTTTCCCATCCACATTCCTACGGCTTGGCATTAGCTTTCTGGAGCTCTTCAGATGCCAGTCACTGAAATACAACCTAAGGCCAAACACCATTCTCCTTCAATAAAGATGATGGTGATGAACTCAAGCTAAAAACCAAATCCAAAACCTGTCTCTACTAGTACATACACATCCAAAGAGCTGTTCTGAATTTTTGCTAGGTTTCTACAGAATTATTTATGACTTTTGCAATTAGCATTTGAAATTTATTGTTCGATAACCAGTAATTTGTATTTTAAAAAATTTGTTCATTTAATGTATTGCCTTGGTACTAGTCAGTACTGACTCTTGCACACAAGTTAAATGAACAATTCATTTGTACCTATTTCATACACAGATTGTATTTTAGGGTGAACTTTCAAAAAACAGCAGAGAGCCTCCGCTAGCAAACTGCTAGCTTTTTAAAAAAGAAAATGAAAACAACAACAACAACAAAAAACATTAACTGGAAGAATAAAAGTAAACTGCACCTCAAGCAGAAAAGGATGCGTCAGGTACAGTAATACACTCATGGCACAAAACCTTATCAAGATTCACCAGAACTGTGCTGTATGCTTGAATGAAATGCAGGTATTTTTCCATCTTAAAAATAACAGAAACAAAGTGTTTTTCAAAAATTCCAAACCACATTCTTAGAACAGTTCTCTGCAGTATAACTTGCATTATACCTCCATTTTTCGACATTTGAAATGACTAACCTGTTCATTGGATAAGAGAAGCAACTTTCAGCCTACTTGCAGAAACATCCTAGTCTACAGACTACTTTGTTAGGAAGCGTGCATTTATCTCTAGTAGTAAAGATCCAGTCAGTATATTCTGCATTTTGCAAGAAGCATTCGGCTAACTCAGATGAGAGTTGTAGGGGTTTAGATTTAATTTTTGAAATAGAAATAAAGTACAAATAAAAGCATTTATCAGTATTCACCACCAGGACATTAAAAAAAATTTCTCTCATTCATGCTTCCTATATATCTGGCAACCTAAATTAGTAATTTCATTTCAAATGTGCAACATAATATTAATAAGCATTTCAAAATTACTCAAAAGAAAAAAGTGGGCAAAATATTAAAGTGCCTAACTAAACGCGTTTTACCATTTTTAAAAAATATTATTTCTTAAACGGTAAAGAACTGGTCGCAATTAAATATAAAAGTGGCTTCTCATAGCTGAGAGACTTTGCGGGGCAGAGGCCTGGGCCGGGGAACCTGCTCAGTCCTCCTGCTGCTGTTTTCCAGATTGTTTGGCCGGACCAGCTGTGGCTTGGGCGGCAGCGCCGGCGGGTCCGTGGCGGGCGGGATGGAGAGGCTGTGAGGTAGAGGAACGGGGCGTTTCAAAGTCCGCTCGTACACGCTGTAAGGCGGCGGGGTTTTACTTTCTTTTCTCACAGGCTCCTCAGAAACGCTGTAGCTTGGGACAGTCACTGTCGGTTCGCTGCCTTGGCTTTCAAAACCCGACGTCTCTGATGTGCTACATCGGCTGAGCGAAGAGATGCCGCTGCTGTAACTCCCCGACAGCACCGGGGAGTTGGATACGAGCCCCGAGGAATGATACTCCACTGGAGACGGTGTGAATGATTGCACAGACCCCTGCTCGAAAGAATGGGAGGAAGAAGAATTTACCTGGAGTAAGCGAGGGAGAGCATTTCTGTCCTCAGACTGAAAACATACACAGATACAACATGTAGATTCGGAGGCTGGATATACGTAAACGATTGCATCCCTGTTTAATTAAGATCCAGTAAGAAACCAATACAAAGCTCATTTCAAGACTGCCTAGGTACACCTTAAACTGCTCATGCCCATAATTCACGTAAAGTGGAAGTAAAACTGTATTTAAATGTTACCTTACTATCATAACACCCTTGAAAAATCTGGAAGCCTTTAAAACGAGCCCTCAGTTTTCGCAGCCGTAAGCGGATCGCCCCACGCCGGGCAGGGCATACCTAGTGGTGTCCTGCCCCCTAACGCCGAAGCGCAGGGCGTGCATCCCAGTCGCTGCTGCTACTTCAGTCTCTCACGTTCCACGTACGTTTTCCAAAGCTTCTCCCTTTTAGTGCACTGCCATGCAATGAAAAGTGCATTTACATTGTGGGATCGTTTCCGAGTGCGTCATACCAACGTCGGAAGTGAGGCGCAGAGCTGATGCCAAGCTAAGAGCCGCTGCTGGGTGCCAGCCCCGGTCAGCCTGCAGCTCCCGTGGCTATCTGCTGCTGCCCCTGGAGAGGCAGGAGGTGAGGCATCGCTGCTGCAGATGGCATTTTGAATCGCAATTGCTCTACCCTTCCCTTTCACCCGTGTCTCAGGCATTCCTCGGACACACCATGCGGCTTACATGAAACACAAAACACCGCTGTGGGCCCCTGGGACAAGGGTCCAACGGAGGACAAAGGTTGCAAATGGCTGCACCGGCAGCCTCACAGGTCTGTGGAGGAAGGCGAGGGACAGGGAGCTGAGAGCCAAAGCGGCAACAACAGTGCTGACAAAGAATAAAAGACAGGGACAGTAGAGCCCTACCTATAAACATCGAGTCCTATTCCAGTGAAGCAACTTCAACTGAAAACTGTAAGAGGTTAGACCATACTTCACAAGTTGAAAAATTTTTGCAACATATCTAATTTTGACTGGAGCCCTCTGAGACAATCTAGACTTAATGGGCTCAAGCACAGGCTAAAAAAAGGGATGGAGAAATTGCATCAAAGACAAATTTCTCACCCCGATTCTTGTTAGACTGGTTGGCGCTCAGCTGCTCAGCTTGAGGTGAGAGTGTGAGCCATGCCACAAAGGATGGGGAGGGGAGGAAGAGGAGAGGGGCAGAGGTGTATAGAGCTAGCTGCACTGACTTTATGCTGTTGAGATAGTTTTAGTTATCCATCTAGGACTGGATCCACAGTGCACTGAAAGCAACGGAAAAAATTTTCATTTACATCAGTGGGTTTTGTACTAAGATGGCCTTCTCTGGCAGCAGATAACAGTTGGAACAAAGGCTAAAAATTCAGCAGCCCTGTACAGGGTTAGGGAAAAGCAGAGCAAGTTTTATTTAAAGCTCAATACACGTTAAAGACATTTCAGACATTGCAAGGAGCCTGTTTAACTACTTGTTTCAGGTTCCATTCCTCTGCACGTGAGAAGGCTCCAGCTGCACTCCTACCCCCACAAACATCCAAGGTCAAGGTTTCCAAATAAATGATGTAATTGGTTCAAGTTCCAAGAACACTTGACACTTGGATTAAGTGACCATAGATAAGATTTAGGACCTTTGCTTTTGTCATTCAGAACAAAAGCAAATATGCATAAACCCTGCCTGCTTCAGTTTAGGAGCTGAGCAGGGGTAAGCGCTTGGTCCCTGACAGCAGTGCAGACTGCTTGTACCAGTGGTAACAGTCTAGACACCAAACCAGTCTGGAAATTCACGGATGCTCAAAGCGAGATCCAGCAGCTCCCAGAAGTATTCTGGGCCAGCATTCCTCTCCCAAGTGGCAATCCAGACTTTGGCTGTAAGATGCTTAAATTCTATCCTGGCCTTTAGAAGAAAATGTTAGGACAAGCTTCAAACATCCATACGTATCATAAGCACTGAGTCCATCCCAGAAGAAGGAAGAGTCGCTCACCTTTTGTACAAGGTCCTAATGCCTGGAAGAGCTTCCTAATACGCAGTTAGTGTGAAACCTGGGATTGGTGCTCACTTCAGCAGGGGCTATGCTATGGTAATAGGGCTACGGGGCACTCTGGCGGCCAGCACAATTGCTCTGTGTTGAACCTGGACCACGGTGCAGCCCCAAGTGGAAATGTTACAGGCTCATGGGATGACAAACGGGAGAATGACTGTGGACTTGTGATTAGGGACCTCAAAGGAAAAGGAGATGTGTACCTCTGCAGCATTAGTTAGGCACTGGGTAGCTGAGGGACCACTTTGGCAGAGCTGCCTCCATCTGTCCTTGCACCCGAGTGCCTGAAGCACCAGTCATGCTCCTTTCTATTTGCTCTCCTTCCAGGTCGTTGACCCTCATATTTCTAACTGCAGGATTATCTCTGCTTTAATGGGGTGGTAAAGGCTATCCTCAAGACTAACATGGTGCAGTCAGTCAGGAGCGGGGTTTGTCTGGAATATGCTGGCTGTGTGTTCATGCCCTCCGGTGCTGTGGAAACACGGGTTTCCTGGTCAAGTTTTCCAACAAATAAGCTTGTTATGCAACAGCAGGTACCGAGATATTCACATATCTTGAAATAGAAATGAAACCTGCTCAGTTTAGCCTGGATCCTCAATTGCTATGGGTGTTTAACTGCCAAGGAAGAACCAATGCTTATTCACACCCTGTGCCTAATGCTTCCTACTAGCAGACTTCAAACTACTTCCAGCTTCTTACACAACCTCCCTGGATGATTCTGCAGAGGAAACGGATATTAAAATGACTGAAGCAGGGAATACTCTCTGACATACCCTCTAATCCAAACGCTCTGGATGCTGGAAGAGTAAGAGGAATGGGTTGCACAACAGGTTCTCCTTAGCTGGCATCTCCCCTTTTGCCACTGTTGGAGACAGAATTCTGGACTAGGTGGACCATCAGGCACTGCTTACATTTCTTTCCTACACTCCCTTCTGTCCACTGACTCAGGTGAGCTTGATCATCCATGTAGGTGAGAAGCCTAACATTGAGAGGCTAAAGATTCTGAAGATTATGTTTGTTGCCTGCAGTTTTGAAAATCTTCAGAACTGCCATAATTGTTATGGCTACTTACTTTTGTGAATGGTTTTTGTATAGGCATATGATAATAAAAGGAAAACGTAATATAATTCCAAATAAAGTATATTAAATATATACTATCTACCTCACAACACATACGACCTGTCCCACAAAGGCAATTCACTGCAGTAAGACAGTACCTTCATCGGGGATCTGCCAGCAGGAGACGGGGAAACGGAAGCTATGTGTCTTGCTGGTGATGCTGTAAAATCAGAAAGATTTCAGTGCACTCTTGGCATTACAATTTTCACTAAGAAATCTTTTTAAGTGGATAAGAGATCATTCTATACACAAGCATTATCTCTGGTTCCCTCTAGGTACGTGCCCAATGGGTGCAAATAGTTTGAGAGATTTTGGTTTTTTTACTTTGTTCTCAGGATTACCTTGCAGTAACCAACAATGAAGTATAAGACATTTCTGCATCCATCTTCTCTGACAAACTATATATCACTGTAAATTGGTTTATATCCCACCAAATGATAACAGGATCCAAAAAAAGTCAGTATAATAACTTTTCCCCTCCTCTCTCTTCTTAAGAAATATATTATGTATTTGTATGTCAAATAAGAAAAAAAGACAACACGTGATGTACTTATATCAAACATTTTCCTATGAATATACTGTAAACATGCCTGGCATGTTTGAGGCATAAGTCTAAAACATAAAAAGTGACTTCACTCCTTTGAGAACAATTATATTTATAGTGTCACTTAAGCAGCCTTTTCTTTAAATGGAAATTAATCTTTTGAAAGCAAATTGGTTATAGTAACAGAAACCCCTGTACTTCCATGATTACTGTGCATTTTCTGGCCAGTGAGATTCTTTGTGGTTAATGATCATTTCTGACTGCTAATCTCCAATTATCATAAGATCAAAAGATTAAATTTGATCATCCTCCCTAGTACCAGCATGAACTGTCTGAAACTACTTAACCATTAAGTGAAGGGGCAGAGTATTGGAAACAGAATGCTACAGAGAACATTAGCGAGATGAAAATACCTGTGGAGGCAATTCTACAGCCTTCCATGAAAGTAATCAAATAATAAATTAACCTACCCAAGAAGTTAAAACATTAACTGGAGTGGAAAGAATCTAAGTCCTCAAGTAAATCACTTTTTTACTGGAGCTTAGCCTGAAACGTCCATTAACTCACCAGTCTGTGCAGGTCTAGGTGGTACAGGAGGAGACATAAGCTTTCCACTTTCTGATGTGTTTCTGGCTTCCTTCCCACTGTCCAGGCTCCAGCTGCTGGGGGTGGCATTTACAGCTGGAAGGGAACGAAAAAGCTGGCGTAAGCTCAACACTTCCAGCTCTCTCACTTGCCTTTATCCATGAGGGTAAAAATACACAGAGTGAAAACAACTTAACGAGCGTGCCTGAAAAGCTCTCATGATTACATCAGCATTTAAAAAGCTCTTAAATAATGGCTGTCGATCTTCTGGTTGCCTGATGTATGAATCTGGCCCCATCAGGTCAGTTTGCGATTGTATAGCAGTTGGGTCCATCAACAACAGCCAGCTGAGAGCGCGCTCTGGTGCACTGCACATCCAGCCACAAAGGGAGATAAGCTTGAAGCCCGTTAATATAATCAGTTTATCTTTGCACCAGACTCCTATTTAGAGGTTTCTAGGCAGAGGGGAACAGACTATTCATGAACCGTTTCCATTAACTCATTTTATATAAAGAAGGGACTAGAGAAAGGAAATCGCCAAATTCCAATCAACCTCCCTCAGAAAGCTTTCCCTGCTCAGTCTTTTGTTGCCTGCATAGGCTACAAATTCAGAATTGAAAGAAGGTGGAAAGAAGGGCACAAAATGAAGGGAGAAAAATTGGAAGAAATGAAAGTGTCGGGGGGGGGAAATCAAGAGAAAAAATTATTGTGGACCCAGAAAATTTATATACGCTGTTTGTATCCATGGTCAAGGATCTCTTCTTGATCATGTAAATTGACTATTACCTTGACATGTGTAAAATTGGCTGTTCTGTTTGTCTGTGTTACCTTTACCAAATTCCATTACTTTAATTGAATAATCCCATAAGGCCTGGAACAGCTTCTTTACTAGAGCTGGATTATCTCATGTTGTCAACGAGCCACCAGTATTGGAAAGAAGTCAGACAGAAAGACAGGGCATTGAACATGGACAGGACAAAAGCTAACTTAAAACTCACATTTTTTCTTACCTGTCCTGTAAAAAAGTAGAAAAAAAACCTGCTTCAAACCTCCCCCTACCCCCCCCAAAAAAAACCCCACCACCAAAAACACCCCCCACCTTCAAAGCCTCAAACCTCTTGCCTTGCCATGACAGATTCCTTCTCACGTGCTTGTTTCACAGTTGTGAGTAGAGAACCACATGCAAGGATTCTGCGCTCTTTTACAAAGATGGGGTGAAAAGCAAAGGATTGTTGCTAACATGGTATCAATTATTGCTATTCTAGCAACACCAGGGCTCTCAGGACTGCAATCCCATTACACCAGTATATACCAGACTTAATACAAAAAGTACAGTACAAATAATATTTGTTTCATATCTGTAACAATATTGTTACAGTATAACTGCACATTAGCTGACCCTGAGAACAATGCACATAATAATCTATTTTCTAGAGGATCATTTTGGGTTTTTTATTGCCAAAGTATGCAATACATTGTTTGCTTTTTATTGTAGGCTGTCACCTAGCAGTATGGTTTTGCCCTCATCCTAAAAATGACTTGGCACCAGACCTAGGTACTTCAAATGCCTGAAACTCTTGATGAGCCAATGTTTTCTTTTAAGTCATCCAAGCAGTCATTTCTTTGGACTGCTAAAGTCTCCAGGAGAAAATATTTTATTTTAACAATTCTGTAATGTACTTGGCTCCATAGGCCAGTGGAAAAGTTTTGCCATTTCCATGTTAAATTATTTCATATGTTTTTCAGCCCCATGAAAAATTCCACACTCGAGCTTTCATAAAAACTAGGACACAAAAATCCTTACAAAAATCCTCTCCTATTGATGAAAATCTGATCCCTGGTCAGTTCTTGTTACAGTATAGTCTTAAAATTTTTTTTTTCCAATACACCTGTTTTACTGTATCCTTTATTCAGGGTACCACAAAGCACAGCGCATAATGAAATGATGGAGCATATTATGGAAGTGGAGCACATAATGAAGTTGTGGCATGATAACTGTGCCAACAATACTGAATTTCCCCACATGCCAGATTACAAAAGGCAATATTTCATCTGTGGAAATTCATAGGTTTCTCATTTACTGTAATTAAAACCAAAAAAACCAGCAAACCACAAATTGATCTTTTCCATCAAAATGTAACCAAAAGCACAGTGACTTATATTTGGTGAAGAGGGCTTGCAGGTACCAAACTTCAGGACTCTATCCATCTCTTTAGCTTCTCTCTGCCCCAGTTTCCAGCAGTTCATCACCCCGTATGTCTCTCTGGAGGAGCAGAAAGGACAGCTCTCACTGGCAGCCTGCTGCAACCTGCTGCTCCACCACTCCTTCCTGCAAACTTCTGGGCCCTTCTGAGCACCACGTTCAGTTCAAACAAATACCATGTTCCCCCCTTTTTGGCAAAGTAGTTAGCTTAAATGTTTTGAAACTTGGAGGTCACAGTATGTGCTCAAAAGAATTAGCATTCTACAGGAATAAGACAGGTTAATTATATTTTCGTTGCTTCCAAGATTGGTACGGTGCAGCATTTCCACTCACCTTTGTCAGGGCCGGGCAGATTGGAATCACTTCGGGGCAAAGCACCGTCTCCAATATGATTAAACAGCATTCTCTGTAAATTGGGAACAACATGGTTTACGCATAGCTGCTGTTGTATTTCAGTGGCTTTTAAGAAAATAAATATCTTTTTGTTATTAACCCCACCACACAGGTCTACTTTGGAGGTAAAGTGATAAACATCACCTAAGAACATAAATAGTTTAATAAAAACACGTGCATACAAATAGGGAGTAGACTAGTTTTTTGAAAACTGTCCACACCGGAATCAGAAGGAGGATTATTGTGTGCCGAGTTCTGACAGTTTCTAGCTCCCTTAAAAAACAAAATAAGACTCATTCCTCAAGTGGCATCTTGATAGACTACTAAACAAGTGCAGCGATAGATTTGCAATAATTTCATTACAGAATCAGGATCTGAACAACATGTAATGTTTGGCAATATTCAAGTTATGGCTGCTATCTTAGAAGAGTATTGTGTATTATTTCCTACACTGACTTTTTGGTAGTAGCATTCTTACTTCTCTTGTGGATAAGAGCTGACCTGTAAGTGTGTTTATCTTTCCTTTTCTGAATGTTTAAAAAAAAAAGTCACAGAAAAAAATTAAAATTCCACTAGTTATTTCTTTTGGCAGCATTCAAATAATCTGTGGGTCACTAGTTTATCTTGATAACAGATGTAAACAGCATGCAGTTAATCCTACGAGTAATTCAGATGTAGGAAGGAAATGAGAACAGATAAATTTGACTTGTTTTTCTTCTTTTTTTTTTTGCAAGCAAGATCAGACAAACAGTGAAATCCAAATCAAATCAAATCCTATTCTTGTATCTCGTTCCAGTGTTCAGAGAGGACCATGCCGAGTCAGCGAGGCACTATGCTGTGGTTCCACAAGATGGCAAACCCAGCTGCAAAGTAATCATCATTGATCTAACAGCTCTGTGTTACAAAATGAGAAACAAATACTTGGCCAATTCAACTTCACTTAAAACATCTCACAGAGAGAGTGCTTTGGCAGACTTTGAGCTACACTAGGTTTACCAATCTATGCTGTACTACAGTCATATTGGATCAGGTAATATCTGTTTTCCTGGAGTTACCATTAAACTGAGGTGGTGTAACTACATGAGTACTCTAATGTGACAGAAAATGTGATCATATGTTCCTGCCTGGACTGGATCGCCTGTTCACCGCCCTGTGAGTCTGCAGTGCACTAGGATCTGGTGGGCAAGCGTTGAAGTCTCTTTTCTGTTGTGAAGGTAAAGAGCAAAGGCTGAAAAAGCAACTGAAACTGGAGGAGATAAGGAGACAAAAGCTGAATGAAATACAGAGAAACGAGGACATATTAAATAATGAAATATAAAATTATATGGAAGAACAAGAGCAATCACAGGATGTTTAATGAGATGCGAAAAAACCCAAAAATGCAAAACCCCAAAGCTCCATTAGGAAGAATAGTGAAAAAAACTAAAGAGGCTTGTTGACCAGTCAATGACAGCAGGCATTTCTCTTCAGAGTATGGCAAGAGCTGGACAGACACTGTACAATCACTCAGCCAGAGATCAAAAAGCAAGCACAAATGGATGTTGACTAGAACCAGCGGTATACAGATAACCTTGAGCATCAATTTCAATGAGGGAAGTGGATGCACTACTGCTGTGGTCTTGTTCTATGAAGTCCATCAAGCTTCCTTAAGTGAGGTAGCTATATCCTGAAAGGATTTGATTTGGACTTGAAATGCCAGAATTTGCCTCTGCATCTCATCTTTCCTAGTTGCAAAACTGTAGTGAAAATTGCATTCATTGAGCCATAACAAAGACGTTCATAAATGCGTGGCCTTTCCTCATTAACTTAGCGTGAAGCTCCAAACAAGACTGTTGAAGTTAACAGGTGTTAGAATAAAAATAGAAAGGACAAGGAACAGCTTGAGCATCTGAACTCTAATGAGAATTGCAGGTATTTCTAAGCTATCTCCTTACAATTGTCCTGAGGATTTATTTTCTCCTTCTTAATCAGAAGGCAGAGAATCAGCGTTTTGTTTCTGATCACAGTCCATTTTTAATGCTTGGGGAACAGAGCACCAGTGAAAGAAATGGCATCTTTCCCCAGAAAGATATATCCTCATTTATGGTTATAAGGGCAGAAAGAAACCATCAGACCTTTTCACCTTTGAAACATACTTCACTGAAAAAGCAAGTTAATTTTCTACTTACCCTCTCTTGGGACACTGAGGGTAGAGACAGGTTGGGAGATTTTCCTGCCAGGCGAGTCTCAGAGAGAGTGGGGACTGGGCCTACGAGCTCCTCAGCCTCCCTTATCGAATCTCGGGTAGAGTGGGGGATAGAAGTCGCGTTCCACTTGGCAAAGCAAGAGTTTGCAGTCTGGGAGCAAAAACGGAATAATTTTTTCTTTGCGGCAAACTGTAAAACCGCTTTATTTAAAGAATATCTCCTGGTCTTTCCTGCATGCTGGTTTGGCTCCATGACCACTGAGAAGGCACCCAGTAGATATATCAGTAAGTAGCTTCCGAGAACTGCTCTAAGTCTGGCTAAGCTACAGTATTAGTTCTTAAGCCCTCAGGTAACGCTATGAGGACTTAAACAGAAGAGAGGAAAAAATTAAATCAAGAGCCAACTCGATAACTGAAGAAGCAAGGCACAAGAATACAAGTAACAAGAAACCAACAAATCATTTCTAAAGTAAAGGTTCCGGGATTACCAAGCTGTATTTTATCAGAGGTAAAATTTCTGGTGGAAATGAGTGTGTTGAGAAGAGACCCTTTCACCCGGTATTTATGTTCCTGTCTGTCTCAGCTTCAGCAAGAGATGCAATGTGCGATGGAACGGATTAAAACAGCAACTGCGTTAAAGGAAAGCACTTTAGGAAAGTAAGTCAATTAAGAAGAAAAGATGAAATAAGGATTCAAAATTGGCCAGCTCACCAAGCTCATTTTGCATTTCAGATACATCAAAAGATACAAATTTTATACAGACCTATGCAACAATTAATTTTAAGGTAAGAATTCAACTAATTCTTTTCTCCGGAGTAACAAAATGTCTATCTGTCTTTTCTGAAATTACATTGAAAAATAGGAATTGCCACATGGGAGTGGGTTATTATCTCAACAGTGGCTAGGATTAGCTATTTCAGAAGAAATAAAAGGGAGGTCAACATGGACAACTGCTGGGATAACAGTTTTTTCTTCTTCCCAAGATTGAACAAATGCTGCTGTTTCAGACAAGCAGGCTGTTTCATCTAGTAAGTAAATAAGTGAGTAAATATTGATACCAGATCTAAACCTAGACAAAACAAGCAGAAATGTGATCACGCACCATGTATTCTATTCACATCTCTTTCATGTTAAATATTTTAGAGTATTTGCTTATAAAACAAGCAAAAAACCCCTTTGAAAATTAACAGCAGTGAGTAGACACTGAATCTGCTTGAAGTTCAACAAGCACCTTCATCATCTGCTTAGCTACTTGTGTTCAGAGGCCTCCCACCAAGGTTCCTACCTGCGAGGTTTCCGAAGCAGTAGGGTAGATGGCACTGCAGGGCCTCTCTCGGGGGGACAGGCAAGAATTGTCTCGAGAATGCTTATGTTTGTCAGACAACAGAGGAGAGGCTAGAACATAAACATGTCGAGTGATTAAATTCATGCAGTGAAACTCAGACATTTCAATTTTATGCTTATGACAAAGAAATCCTCTGTCCCCAGTAATCCATGTACCTCAAACAGCTCACTAAATTTGATGTCTGACCAGTTATACCACGCAGAAATTCAGCTGTGTAATGTATCAAGAATTATTTAATTTGGTTTACCATAGGAAACAAGCACTGACCTCTGGCACTGGATGGAGCAGAACTGGTCACATTAGGTGAAGCAGAATGAGTAGAACTCAAGCTTGAGGTAGACGGACTAGGCTGTGTATAAAAGAGATTCTGTTGTTACCACATCACACCTACTGGTTTGGAAAACATACCTTTCACTAAAACAAAGAACTTGTAACTTGTTAGACTAGTTTTTCAGTATTTCAAAGCAGCAAACCAGTATGAAGAGCATTAATGTAACTATGCAACAATTTAGTAAAATATCAAATAAATAAATACAATTAACATAATTACATCACAACTGTGAAAACGAGAAAAGTTTCTGTAAGGTCAAATGACTTTGTATCACATCACATTGCTTGTTAATACTTGTTGAAAATTCATGCTCTAAGTTTGGAAGAAACAGTTACATAAAAAAATCATTCTTTCTAAGTTAAGGAAGTAAACAGTCCACTTAAGTATTTGGGTTTTTCAAAGAAGTATCAGCAGGAACTTTTAGATTTCTATATGAAATAACAGAAGAAATAATTTAGTAAATAACCTTGTAAGAAAGATTCCATTTAGTTTGAAGAATGACAATAATTTGTACCTGCATGTTAAAAACTTCATCGGAGCTTTCTGATTGCCCAGTGATATTGCTGACTTCAGCAGATGCTTGGGATGACAGTGATGAGGATGAATACCGATTGACAGCTGGGTAACTCAAGGGACTATTATAAGAATAATGAAATACAAAATGGTTAACTGTAGTTGCCAATCATAATTTTTCATGTGAAAATAGCATGTTTATTAATCTCCACAGTTGAATTTGGATTTATTCGTAGAGGGAGAGAAATTATATATCAGCTATTCATGCTTGAAGATACTTCATGTGGACCATACAAGGAAGCATGCACACAATAAAAGTAGTCTATAGGTCACCTTCTGTGAGTAACAAAAATCTATCAATTTCTAGTAATTTAACTTGCCTGCGTCGTGGTATTACCCTGGCACCATCAGGGCTCATAGAAACAGGTATGGAGTTTCGGCATACACGAGGACTTCCATTTGGGAAATGAACGGGGCTAGCTTGTACGCAGGCAGAAAATTCCTGGGAAGTTGTTAAAAGATTAATTAAAATGGACATAATATCATTGAGCATTTTGTAAAATACAGATAGTCATTTGAATAATTGTATCTGCATTTTTGGATCAGCTTCACCATCAGTAAGAAAAATATTTTAAATTTTGCTGATGATACTTTCCCTTTAGTAAAACATGACTATTTTTCTCTGCTCTGCACAGGAAGTTTAACAACTTTCCCTCCGCTTTGTGGTACTGTAAGAATGCTACAAGATGTAATGTGGACAACCAACCAAAAGATGTCACTGTTTGTTGCTTAGGAAAATTAAACTGCCCTTACTGCTGTTAAATGGTCTCCTGGTTTATCCGTGCACCTGCTCATGTACCTGTATTCCCAAGCTTGACTTCATCACAAAGAACTGATCCACCAGCTTTTTGTGCAATGGCCTCATGTCCTGCGGCACCACCTTCTCATGCACTGCCAAGCCAAATTCTAGAATCTGGGCCTGCAGAAGAGAGAGGAGGAAAAAGGAGGCAAATACGGGTTTGATCCGTTTTCTTTAAGCTTTCATCATCAATTATGATACTAATAAAAAAAAAAAAATCCAACAAAATGCATGTTATACTAAAATCATCTATGAAAATCCTTGACAGACCTGTAATCAAACAAAGCCTAAGACCAAAACCAGTAACACACAAGAAGATTTATGCCCCTTCCCATTTCATTATTGAGTGGTGAGGCACTGGAGCAGGTTGCCCAGAGAGGTTGTGGATGCCCCATCCCTGGAAGTGTTCAAGGCCAGGTTGGATGGGGCTTTGGGCAACCTGGTCTAGTGGAGGGTGTCCCTGCCCATGGCAGGGGGGTTGGAACTAGATGGTCTTTGAAGTCCCTTCCAACCCAAACCATCCTATGATTCTATGACTTTCCAAAAGATTTCACCTATGCAAATTCAACTCTAATATAAAAACCACTATGGATAATGTAGTGAAAAATCTGACTAAATGGTAACTGTACACAGGAGCAGCTCTAAATTCTTTAAAAAAACCCAAAAAACAAAAAACCCACAACAACCCCCCTCCCAAAAAAAACCAGACAGACATTTTCTACAAGAACAGTTACCATAAAATACCATGAAACCTAAGAGCAATGCTCATATCTACCAGAGACCCTGGAATATATTTTCAATGAAGTCCATGGTTCCCTATCCTGTTCCAACTCCCCAGAGACCTCAGTAAGTGGTGCCTTTATGTATATTCTTCATATAATGCCTAGTAGGCTTCAGAATAATGTTGCTAAAACTCTAATCTTGCTCAAATTTGGTCACAGGCATTTAAAATACTGAACTGGTTACATGAGGAGTCAGCTAAACTCAAATTTAAAAACAAAATAGCTACGCTATGCTGTAATATCTTTGGATGAGAGCTACTCGCTGACGTTTTCAGGCAGCCTGCGAGTGGGCATACAGCTGCGCAGCATCACTGACCCGAGGTCAGGACTGCAGCACATCCATCCGCACACACAGGCCCTTCTGAACGCTCCACGGATTCTGTTAAATCATCTGCGGGTGCCAGACAGGGTTTAAAATGCTGTCACTTGGAATTCACATTTTTGTCACAGGAAGTTTGAAATTGTAAGGGTTAGTGAGATTAACTATAGCTTGAAAAGCTGAAATTGCAATGCAAATTCCTATACATTATCTAAATGAAATTAAAGTGAGCTCAGTGAACCTATTCTGATTTGTACTGTCTGAGGATCTGTCCCTTCGGCCGATCTGACCAAAAGATACCACGATGCTGACGAAAAATGGAATTTCCATCTTGCCAAATTCCAATACTCTGACCTCTTTATCCCAAGCTGGCATTAAAGTTTGAAATTTCAACACGCTGCACAGAAGATAGGTAAATGACAGTTAAAAAAGCTGAAATACTTAGTAAGATCATTTGAGCAAAATAATTTCTTTCAGCATTTCCAAATGGAGACACTTCATATTTGAGGCTGGTAGGTTGTTGTCTTATAAATAAATGAAAAAATGATGATAATAATAATAAAAAAAATCATATAATGCACAGAATACTCACCTGTTCAATTTAATCAGTTGGATGTTTATGTTACTGCCTACCTACTTTGGCTATTATTATTAGATGTCTTCCACTGTAATAAGTCTTTTTGGGGTTTTTTTGCTCTTGCATGCTAAATCTTTTAGTGAAAATGTTTTATAGTAGTGGTAAAAACACATCATACAAATATTTGCTGAGGCCATCAAATGTTTCAATGAGACAATGTTTATTCTCTAGCAGTGGTAAAATATGTTGTGCAAATATTTGCATAGGATCGTCACAAGACAAAAACTTGCCTCTCATTCAACCTTTAATCTAAAATAGTTTGAAGTGATTAAGATGATGATGAAAAGGGCTAAAGGGAAAAAAATATGAACATGACCCACAAACCTGCTTGTATAGGAAGTTGCTGTCCACTTGGAATCTAATTCAGAAAATACTGAAGACCACTGGGCAATTATTAACCTCTGAAATTTTATATTTTATTTTGGGACGCTTTTAGCTAGAACAGCTGAGCAGGCCACCTAGACAGTCTTTTCCCCACTTTACCTGCTCGAGCATCAGCTCTCTCAAGCGTGTGATCTTCTCTCCATCCTCTGGATGGTTCAAGATGTATTCTTTGACAAAGAATGCCTAAGCAGAATAAAACCACAAAGTTAAATAAAGTGAGTAAACTTTTTTTTAAAAAAAAAACCCCAAGTTTCTAGATTATATTTTTGAAACAAAAGCGCCTTTCTGCTGCAACAGAGGATAATAAATGCTAATTAATTAATTATTCACATATACATTGCTGGAGACTATAGACAAATAAAATGTATGTTCAATATCCAGGACAAATTTGGAAACCTGCAAATCAGAATTGAAACCAAACACAGGTCACCTGAACTAAACATCTCTTCCTCATTAATTGTGACACAGGAATTTCAAATAATCACAAAGAATTAGATTTTTCCTGTATTTTCGTACTAGGAGCTTCGTTATACCTTAAATATAAAGATATCTTAAGAACAGTGTGGAATTGTATGCTATTATATGTATTGGAGCCGTGACAGTACCTTCTTATTCACTGATAATATCAATAATGTTTTTAAAGAACTCACAGTGGCACTGATGTGAAAAGCCACACTTTTCACTTCAGGAGCATCTGACCAACATTCAGGTGTGTTCATGAGCTTACATGACTTTCCACCCCATCTCCAGCAGTCAAACTGTACCAGCTATAATACCCTGAAGTCATCTTACCCAGCAGTGGCCTGACCATAGCACTCCCCTTTTTATTCATGATCACATCTCTTTTAACATGGCACCTATTCTGCTGGTTTTGGCTGGGACAGAGTTAATTTTCTTCACAGTAGCTGGCATGGGGGTGTGTTTGGGGTTTGTGCTGAAAAACGCGCTGATAACCCAGGGATGTTTTCGCTCCTGCTGAGCAGTGCTGACACAGAGCCAAGGCCTTTTCTGCTTCTCGCTCCACCCCACCATCAAGGGGGCTGGGGGTGCACAAGGAGTTGGGAGGGGACACAGCCAGGACAGCTGACCCCAACTGACCAAGGGGATATCCCATACCATATGACATCATGCTCAGCATATAAGGGGCTGGAGGAAGGAGGAGGAAGTGGGGGATGTTCAGAGTGATGGCGTTTGTCTTCCCACGTCACTATGACACGTGATTGAGCCCTGCTTTCCTGGAGATGGCTGAACACCTGCCTGCCCATGGGAAGTGGTGAATGAATTCCTTGTTTTGCTTTGCTGGCATGTGCAGCTCTTGCTTTACCTATTATCTCCATAGACAAGTTTTCTCCCTTTTCCTTTCCTGATTCTCTCCGCCTCCTGCTGAGGGGGGAGCGAACAAGCAGCTGTGTCGTACCTAGTTGCCGGCTGAAGTTAAACCATGACACCTATCCTGCCCTACAAGGGGATTATATTCAATTTACAACATTTTTAAAATTTATTCTGCAAAGAAAATTTCCAGCTGTTCAGCTGAGAGATTGCCAGACTTTCTCAGAAAGAAATAAATTTGTCACAAAAAGTATCTGTACGCATACCTCTACATACACATGGGTTTCTATCTATAGAGTTGAGAGGACAATGATGGCTGCTCTGTCCTGTGTTTTCCTTTTGCACCTGTCTTAGCATTTCCCTCATTTACTTCTTACAAGGCTCACCATCCAACTTTAGCTGTTAAAATCTTTGCTATGCCAAATCATTTGTAAGTATGGGGAGCAGTCAAGCTGGAGATAAATATACTCTTTCCTTAGATTCAGTTCCAAAATTTCATGCTATGACAACCCATAATAAAGAAGTGCAGAGACCTGTCTAGAAAATGCTGATACTGTAATGAACATTTATTTCACATAGTTTATTCACTGCAGATAAGTAGAATTCTAAGAATTAATGTTTAAATTGTTAAAAGAAGCCCTCTGATACTTGCTAAAATCCCAAATCCCAAACTTCTGCCAGCTGATATTTTTTTCCCTCAGCTACAAGCTTAATGTTCTTTCAATATCAAGCAGGTGGTGTCCCAGTGGTTGTGGGCTGAGATTTATATAGATCTGTAATACCAGTCGGAGATGTAATAATCTAACTTCAAACAAAATCACCAGTACTTTAGAAAAAAAAAAATCAGAATTTGACTAAATCTAGTAACATTCTTAGAACCAGTGGTTTCCAATAATTAATCATGAAAGTGCCTCTACTCTTCTAGCACATGTAAAGGAGCTAAAAGAAATTAAGTTATAGTACAAATTGCAGTTTGAGAGATGTTCGTGACCACAAAACACACTCTTCATGCTTTTCCAGCTGTGTTTAGGGAAATTTTAATTCAGTGGTTCAACAGCCATTTTTCAGCACACATGAAGGTGCTGCATAATAACTATTACTTCTGTAGATTTTCCTGGAATTTGTTCCTGCATTGAAACCAATGGAAGCATAGCTTTAACACCTGCAATATCGGCCAGAGTGCTGAATAATTAGAGATAGCTGCTGTCTATCCTATCAGGAGAGGAGAAAGGGATAAAAACGGGGCAAAGGAGAAAAGGGAAGGGAGGGAGAATGGGGAAAAAAAAGGGAGCAGAGTCAAGAGGGAAAAAGGGGAGCAGAGTCAAGAATGCAGCAGCTGGCCAAAGGAAATTATTTGCTGGGTCTTAACACTTCTTAAAGCTTGGAAATTGGAAGGAGGATATCTGTAAAGGCATGGTCATGCTTACCTCAAGGCCTCATGCTCCAAGACTGAGTAAGTTTTGAGCTTTGTATAGGGCAGAAGGCAAAAGCAAGTGAAACGGGCAGAGAAAAGCATTTACAGAAGAGAAGAAAAGAAGGAAGGTAGAAGAAGTGGCAAAACAGCAGGAAGACACATAAAGACTGAAAAAGGGACATCCAAAGAGAATGAGGGTGAAAGAGGAAAAAAAAAAAATCCCACAAATCTCACAACTAGTGCTATCAGTTTTGGTGTTTACAACACAAATTGGTGAAAAGTCCTATCACAGGTATATAACAAGAGATAGAGGGAGAGGGTGGAAGGAAATCAAAACATGAAGACTGCCTAGGAGATCAAGAATTGCAGCTAAGAATAAGAAAGGAGCAAGCTAGAACCTTTCATATGCTCATGAAAGCTATGCAGAGACACTGAGCTAGCTCTGACACTGCTAATTCAAACCAGACATAGCTCTGACATGACTGTATTTCTCAAGGGACTCCCGTCCTGGTGCTTTGCCATGCTAAACAGTTTTGTTGTTGTTGTTTAGAGGCAGCTGGGAAACATCAAACGCAGTACTGCTCTGCTTTAGTCTCACAATTTCCATAGCGTTCCAGTTTTGATGACAGATTTAAACACTATAGTGGACTCAATTTCTTGTAGTTTAATTTAGATACAGTTTTATCAAATTTAACACTGTTGAGCAAACACCGAATCTTGCAGCCTTTGAGGCAAGTGGACAGAATGTTATTCAACTTGACATTTTCAATGGAAAAGGATCAACCGGCTGATTCAAGTATTTCATAACACTATTAGGAGAAAGAGGAAGATCAAGCTGGGCTGGAAAAAAAAACAAAATAAAAACCTTCCTCTCTTTTTACTGTGGTTTCAAAATTCCACAGAACTTTGTCGAAATACAGCATCCCAAACAATTAAGGTTCTCCTCAGGTGGTTCAGAGATGACAATACTGAGGGACAACTTCTAGGAACAAATCCAGCGTTAGACATTTCTTAATTATATGTATTATTTCTTACTAGATTTTTCCAGAAAATAGCTTTCCTTAAAAACTTGGAAAAGAGAAAGAAGGTTTTAGAAAAAATATGATTCTTCAAGATAATAAATTTCTTGTTAAGAATTTTTATTTTTTTTATATATATCTCTCTCTCTATCTTAAAATTAGAATGTCAGCATATAAAAGTAAATCTGCTGGTCAGCCAGAAATAGCTCCTGACCTAGAAGGGCAGGAGGGACGGAACGTATTAATAATAGTAATATAGTCACCATTAACCATTTCATTAAAAATCCCCAAACAAACCACTGAAGAAATTGTGAATCAACTCATCACTGGAGTAAGTTTATGGGACTATCTGCAGCAAAATGGTTATTTCAATAAAGCTATACATATTTAACATCTCCTCACCCAAAACTGCAATATAAGTATAATTAAAACTATTATTGATATAGTACTTTCTGTCCTCAATGGATACAGAGGAACTACATCTGTACAGGGAAAGAAATCAGTACAAAACTGTCTTATGACATATTTTTAATAAACAAAAAATAAATTGCTTACCTCTTGGTATCTTGCAACTCCACCATTAACTGCTGCATCAATGACCCCATTTAGACACATCGTGAGAGGGTTAATATTTTGCATCTGTCGAGTTTGACACTGACTAATCAGTGTTCTCAGCTGCTGGTTCTTATTTTCTAAGACTTCAATGGCATTCTCAAGGGGACTCATTTCCACCTGAAAGAGGAGTGAGGAACATTGCAAACATACTTAATTTTCATTTGAAAGATAAAATATATTAAAGGTATTTTTTGATTCCTTAAAAGAAAACAATGTTATTCTATGTTCTAGAGTATTGGGACAGAAAAAATTCTTCTCACCTGGGCTACACTGAGTGTACACTCTTAGCAGAGAGTATTAATTTTATCACATAATCAAGGACCAAAATAAATAACTCTCCCTTTCTTGTAGATCCATTATCTGACCTTGAGAGATACTCAGCCCTTGCTTGCAAAACACTCACACGCTTCAGCCTGTGGTGGAACTCTTGGAATTCAGGGCTAAACTGTCCTTGGTAACTTGACCTAAATTGGGCTTGAGGTCAAGGAGAGCTTCACCATGCTTAAGGGCACAGAGGAGAGCTTAAGTATGGGCAAACGTGTTCCCCCACCCAAAGTGAAGTCAACAACTAGACATTATGGAAAAGGAGTTTGAATGTAAGCTTTGAGCTAAGATGATAATAAAGTTATAGTCAAGGGCAGCCCTTGAGTGGGATGTGCCTGTCCTCTCTAGAGGGTGAAGAAGCTTTTCTCACAGGTAGCATGAACTGCAGGGAAAGCACAAAGCTAAGTGATGGGAAGAGCACAGGCCTGCAGTTGCCATAGTTTACCAAAACTTACAAGCACGAATCTGAGTTATGATCTAGTCCATGCCTAGAAAAAAATATTGCAGTTGACTTTTGGAAATGGTGACTATAATGGTAACACAATAGTAAACTGAGGATCTTCATATTAGGGCTCATATTAACCTAGTAAGGAGTCAACTAACAAAACTTCTCATCACGCACAATTTTTTGATGTTTACTAAATTCCATTTTTGATTTTCTATAGGAGAATATCAGGACAGTGAACAAATGACATTTTGTTGGTATTATAAAAAAAGAACACAACAGAGTTTGAGAGAAAATCAGTTATGCAATGGTATCCCTATAGTTAATGGGACTATTGTAATACTGGCTTTGACAGGAAGGAAAATAGTTACAGATGTTATACTCCTGTGGTCAACAATTGACCAATTATTTAGAGATCTTTACATGAGGAGCACTCCTCCGAATACATTTGAAACGTATTTAAGGATTTTCTAAGAAATATAACGACAAAGGAAGAGAAGAAATTACGACGTGTCAGTAACAGATTGCTACATTAGACCCTACTCCTACAGCTTCTGCGTAGGCATGCTTCCCTGCCCATGCTGAGAACTGGGAACTTCAACAGAGCTCTAGGCAGACACAGAGCTGTGCCCACACGGTGTTTATTATAGTACAGGAACTTGGAGAATGTTTACTTTTCAAGAATATGGAAAGATATGTTAAGCTATAGATATTCTAAGTATTAAATGTTACATCATGCTGAGTTTTAAGAAAGTAATTTGCTGACATTAAATGTTGCCTTTGGCTGCCCATTATTGTTCTCAACTTCTTTTTTCCTCAACTGTTTAAATGAATCATAAGCGTGGTTCTTAATAATAGTTTTCAAGATAAGAGAAACCAGACAACTCAAAATACTTTGTAAATAATTTTGTTGTAGCCAGCTTGAAAACTTGCTCAAAGAAATTATAAAAAGAAATTAGATACGGGTAATAAATCTTAAAGTAGTTCATCAAATAACATATGATTAAGGATGTAAACCAACCCACAATATGTATTGCAATCAGTTTCATACTCACTACTTCACGTTTTTCCACTTCAAACCAACGAGATATTCCAGGTAAACTCTGCACCAGGATCAATGTGGTTCTTTCCACCCATAGGCTCTACAATATACAAAAGCAACTTATGTCCCTAATTTGCCTCTATATTTTTCTTAATTATTCCCAGTTTTCTTTATGAATACTTTCATTTAAGTAACCGTATACATGAAAAAAATATTAACATCCAAAATTTCTACTGAAATGTCTATCCTAGAAGCCTATGACATGCACTTTTCTCCTTACTTTCTAGCACCTACTACTAGGCAGTAATTTCTGCTGATTCTTCACTCTTAAACATGGTGTTATTCTATACTAATCTCCAAAAGTCACTCACAACTAAATTAGCATTTTAATATTTCCCTTCTGAGATAACATCTGAGAAGAGGGAGAGTAACTTACAGATCACAAAGACTGACCAGCTCGCTCCCCTCTGTGAAGTCCTATTTGAGATCCCACAGGGGGAATACTCAAATATGCTCCTGTTAAACGCTTTGTGCAAGAGGTTTGTAAAATGACAGATCAACACATAGGATAGTGCTTACACTAAATATATTTAAGCTGTACAATTAAAATAAAGCCCTAAGCTTTAATTAGAGGACAATTGTGACTTAATTTAGTTTATTTATTACCCTTACAGTTCTTTCCTGTAACTTTATAACAAAATTATTACTGGATAATTCTTTTTGTGTGTCTGAATACCAGAATATATTCTGCATCAGGACGTAAGTGTTTCTAGTGGGTCATAATTAAAATTATGCCAGAGGAATGTAAGATGAATTTTCAGTGTGACATTTTTATTAGGAGGAACAGAAGTCATTTACATATATTAGGAAAGGAACTATTGCTCTTTCCCGAGACAATCTCTAAGTTCACAGATAGTTTTTAGTCTTGATATCACAGGAACAGAACAGTATGCTGCAGCGTAGTCAAAACTGTCTCTCCCTTGCTCTAGGGAGAGGTAACTTTTGGCAATCCTATCCATACCCCAGATTACCTACTTAACAATGTATTCCCATCTGCCTTATAAACTTCTCTGGAGGCTGCTCTGCTGTCTCCAGTTCTGCCTTCCATATATCACTGATGCAAAAACAAATGGGTACTTCTTTTCTCTCCTACTCCCATATACATCAAGACCTTCTCATCTCCCATATATTTTTCATATTATTTTAATTAAAATGACAAGTGAAACAGTCAAACTTGAGCTACTGCCTCCTCTAGAGAATTTATTATACCCCACTTGGTTGAATAACACAACTGTAGATGATGTTTCAATAACACAACTATCATTGATATTACAAATGTTACGATGACTTTACCTTGAATTCATTTTCCTTGTCCTTGGTCCCTTTGTGAAATGGCCTGTCATATCGGAATCGCCAGATGTGATTTACTTTGTAAAAGCTTTTGATGTTATCGGGAATGCCGTCTCTCTGCAGGACTTCCTGGTTTTCTGGAATTGGTGTCACTGCATAAATCTGCAAATCTATACGTAAAGAGTTAAGGCTATCCCATTTCATTCAAATTAGCAAAGTGTATTGACTCCTGAAGCATACCAGAAGAAAAACTCTTTAAACGTGTATCATGAAATGCTTCTACACTATTAATGGCTTGGGAAAGGAACCTGAGAGATTTTTTGGGGGATGGTTTGGGATTTCTTTGTATTGTTATGTTGAAAATTTCATATTTATTTTTGAAATAGAGCTACTTACATGGAATACTACATGGAGTAAAGGCATTTAATTAAATATATTCTTACACACAATATGTCATGCCATGCTAACATTATGTTGTATTGTAAGAACTTGAATTATTGTAACTTGAAGTGATACACCATTATCACAGCAGTGACAGTTCTACAAGTATTTTTGGCTAAAGTAAAAATCTTAATAACCTGCCAAGGAATTTTTAAATAAAACCAACAATTACACAAAAAAATTCCAAACATAATAGAGCGACTGGGACAAATTGCAGGGGAATTCTCACCTACCATTTATTTCAGTGGAGGCGCATTGTGATTGAAATTGGCTATAGGTGTACCTACATTTTTTTAAAAGCGTGAAGGACGTAACTGCAGTGTAAGGGTTTGTGATTATGTGGATACACTGTGCTTCTGCCTGAAAGATGGTCTCATCTGGCTGATTAGCATGTTGCATAGCAATGGCATGTGGGAACTCATTCAACATTCGCTGCTGGAAGGCCTCCAGCCTTTCATAGTCATGTCCTCGGCAAACAAATTCCTTATTCTGAGCAGAATAAGAAAAAAAAAACACAAGAGCAAGTTATGTGAAAATAATTGAGTATCATTAGATAGATCCAAAAACATGCTCTTAAATATAGACTTTCTGGGCAATTTTTACATCATTTTAAGAAGGAAAAAATAAGAAACAAAAGATAAGAAAGAAAATAAGAAACCTAGCAAGAACAGGATACTTAGAAGAAGGCAAGGCAATTTTACCATATAAAGTATGTTTCATTCAAAAGTCTGGAAAAATCAAATTATTATACTTAAAGCTTTAATAAAAATCTGGAGGGAGAAATTGTTCTTATCGGAGTAAAGTATGTAACTAACGTATCAGATTTATAAACTATGTAACAAAAATATAATGCAACAGACAGTTAAGACAATGAAATGGGCTGAAAGTCCTTTCCATGAGGAACTAGGAAACTTTGCTTTGAAGTTATACAATGCTGAAGAGAAGCAATACATAAGAAAATAGTAGAATGCATTCAATTTCCCTTATCCTCTAAATGTTTATCAATTATCAGCCTGGTAAATTAAAATTATCCAGTTTTTGCAATATGAAGTAAAAGAATACTCCTGGCTCCAATGTAATTTCTTTTAGCTGGATGCCCTCTATGAAGTTGCCCCATTATTTGCCTGAGATTGTGCAACACGAATACAGGTACAACACACATCCTACATTAGGTGTGAAACGCTTGGATTTGGAGTAGCCATTGGAACTAGCCATTGGCCATGGCGGTGCTGAGGGCTTCGGGTAGCTCTAGACAGCACTTTTTGGTTTGGTTCTGTTTGCACGCATGTTTGAAATAAGGAAATATCTTAACCATTTTTCTAAAAGCACTGTTAAATTATTTTCCTTTTAAAATCTCTATTAGAAAATTCTAAAAAGTCATTACTAATGCATTCCTCTTGAAGCAGGTTTAGATAGAAACAGTTCTTGTCCTTATAGTATCTTGACACCAGAGACAGGAAGCATGGAATTCTGAAAGCCTGGACTTTCATGGGAATTGCTACAAGAAATAACTGCAGTAGTGTTTTGTGCAATTACCAATTAGAATGCGAAAGCTTTTTTTCTGAAGCTTTATTCTTTCTACAGCAAACACAGTCATGCTTACAAACTGCTTTGCCATTAAAAAATTAAGTCAAATGTAGTAGGTTTTGAGATGTTCCTTGTTGGTGTCGCAAGCATAAATCTGTGCTATGTACATTTAACTTGGAAAGTGCTTCCTGGGCAGATGCGTAAGCAGTGAAAGACCTGAAAGGTCTGAAAGTACTGCACCATTGTGCAACTTCTTCCAGTACTTTTACTTCATCAGTTGACCTTTAGTAAACTAATGATTAAATTCTTTCTAATTAACATTTTCAAATTGGCTTCTATTATAGTCAGATGACTACTAGGTAATATCAAAAACTATGTGCTGATCAGACTCTTTTTGTGCATCACTTTTAAAGGGGAGAGTTTCATGCTATATTTACCATTTGGAATTTGTCATTTTCCCCACCACAAAGGTAAAGAAAAATCAGGTTTTTTAGGCCTCCGCTATACAGAGGAGGTTCCTTCGTCACTTATTTGAGTTACCATAGGAAGAGGAGCTTGGATTACAATTGCAGCAGCTGCATGAATAAGACCGTTCTGTTCTCTTCCCAAGGTGACAGTCAATGCAGCTAAACCTCTGCAGACTGCGGAAGAGGGGAACAGTGTAAACACGACTAACATTTTCGAGGGCGCTTCAGTAACTTCAGAATCCAAGATTAATGTGCAAGAGTAACTTCATGTATCTTGTCAGCTTTAGTACGCTGATAATCAATGACACTCGGCATGTTGAATTTCTAAATAATTTCAAAAAAAAAAAAAAAGGAACTTGGGAATGTAATTACTTAAATGCTAAATTACTGATTGTCCCACTGCCAAGGGATAACTCTTCTGACAGCTGCCTTCTGAGCAGCCACCAGCAGAAACAGAACAGGATAAAGGGAACAAACTGCAATGAAAAGAAGATGTCGGTCTGTGGAATAGTATAGGCCCATGGTTGCCAACATAAACATGAATATTAAGTTTATGTGGGACTCTGGAACCCTAGCATTTGTCTTTCCACTAGACAGGACCTTCTCTTAACCCTGAAAAAATGAGGATATTTAACTAATGACCACAAAGAATTCCTTGTTTCTCATAGGTTAAGAACTTGTACATGGTATGATCAAATTCTCACATAAAGAAAGTGATTAGGAATGACAGCATGAATTCCAAAATTACTCCATTCTGTTTATTTTCAAGTCACTTACTCTCAAGAAGAATGGGAACTTTTTCCCATAGAATCCAACTCTGAAAAATTCTGGCTCCAAACGCTGTTGATCCATAATTTTATCATACAAAGATGCTTCCATCATCTGGGTGAGATTGATAAGAAATGCAATTAGTCTTTTTTTGAACACATATTTTTACCTTAAGCTATCACAAAAGGGAGGGTCTTTCAGGACACTGCTCTGGAGTACTGGAACTGCAGTGCATCTCTGAGCAACAATAAGGACATCCAGAAGTCTCTGAATGCATCATGTTAAGTAATTATACTTCTTAACGACCCAAAAAGTTTCCAAGAATTTAAAAAAAAATGCTTTTAAATATATTAAAAGGGTAAAATATTAGATTAATGACAACATGCATAGATCTTTAATGAAAAATGGAAGCAAGGGAAACACAGTTTGAAACATATCACCCAGTAATTTGCTAATCATCCAAACACATGGCAGTAATGTGGTCAGTTTAGTCAGCAAAGTCCAATTTCCATATTCAAGTCTTGTGTCCAAATCATACCTGACTCCAATGATTTGAGCATCAAATGTGAATTCCTTTAAAAATCTCACAATAGCAATTAACATCATTTTTGACCAATACATCCTGCTTTTATTTCACTCAAAAACACTGACACAAAGTGATCTTAATGTCAAAGTCCCCTTTTTCTGATGATATTTCAGCAAAGCATTCTCTGTTCTTAAGTAACTGTGGAAAAGCCCCCAGTATTAGCCCTGTTTTAGGTAATGCAGACAGCTATTTAACGTGTATACAATATCAATAGCTGCCTACTTATATTGCTATGAGAAATCTCCCCACCTCCATTTTTGGATTAACGTAGGTGGCACAGATAGAGTAGAAAGACATTTCCTAATTCAAACACAAAACACATTAAGTACAATTAATTAAACATGTATAAACTAATTCTTTTATTCACATGATGACAGTCAGTTTGCTTTTGCTTATAGGATTCTGCCATTAGGATATCTACATATATATGGAATAAGCAGATCACAAGGAGTACCGCCACAACATAGCTCTGTGTTGAGAATTTTACATGACACCATTAAGCAGCTCTGGACTAAGTATACTTCAGTCAGTCCTAGCAGCAAGCATCCTACACGTACGGAAAATTTAAAAAGGAAGCTGTAATATAAAATTGAATCCATCAGAAGCAGATAAGAAAAGGGAAGAGTGAATAATCTTTATAATATGGTACCAGAAAGACTGAAGAAAGAGACAATGCTTAGAGGTCTACAAAAAATGAGAGAGAAAGCAGGAAGACTCTGCCAGGAAAGATTCATTTTGGCTACATGATATTAAACAGATCATATTCTTAAGCAGTAAATAAAAAAAAAATTGCAAAGGTGTACATTGCTTGTTGCAAGCTGTTTGTTCGCAATTACAACTGCAAAGATACGTTGCTGCTCCTTGCAAAGGACTGCATAGAGCACATTCCCTGGATAAACTGTAGGAAACCAATGAAAGTAAATTTGGAATATATTTTTTCTGCATAAGCCTGCACACAAAAGGGGTGCACTGTACAGGTACAAACATCGCAAGATTATTTATATTCCCATTTTTCTTCAAAAAGCTTACACTCCTTTTTTATAATATTTATTGTAGAAAAAAAACCCCACAAGCTAAAAAATAAAGTTTGCAAACCAAACCTAAGGACCATTCCATGGCAAATTTAATTTTCTAAGTAATATTTTATAACCCAAACTAAAAAGCTTTTGGATCTCTGATTGATGAAAAGTACTTAGGTACATTACCCTCATCTTGCTGAGGTTTCTGTAGTCATAGTAGCTCTCATACTGTTCTGCAATTTTCCTGCATAAGATAATGCCATTTTCCCAACACTGCAAGCAAGTAAAAGATGTTCAGTAATTTCAAAGCCACTGCTCAACAATTCATGATTAGTGGTCTGTTCCTTCTATACTAAGTCATATTTCGAGTAACTGAAAATACATGAACATATTGTCCACTAGCCATACTGATAGCTGCTGAGTAATACTGATGAATTTTTTGAAGAATCAAAAACATATTTAGAGACTTATTTAATAAATGATTCTTACAGGACTATCACTGCACAAGATGGAAGTCATTGCAAGAGTGATAAACATCTCTTTTGATATTACATGTGTGATTGATTCAACACAGTATGATTTTTACATTTTAAAATTGTATTCTTAATTTTTGTAGATTGGAAAATATTTTATTGCATCATATAAGTTAAACTCTATAAGCTGATTACAGAACTTTTGAAAAAACTGATGATCAACATCAGTTTGATTCTATTTACTAGACTTACATGGATATTACACTAGCTACACAAAATTGCAATGAATTGCTTGTTTATCAGCAAGACAAATCATCACACAGTGTTCATAAAGTCTTAGACTGCAGGATAATTAACTCTTGCTTATTAATTCAGAATAAGCATTCTCCGTGATGACGATGAACTGTGATCCCCAAAAGCCATTCCTTTTTACAGATTCTGCTATTCTAAAAGATACAACATGATTTAGAAGGTGTAAACATAGTCCTTATAATCCACACCCCTGAATTTTTTTCCTCCCTTGGTCACTAAGTGAATTTCATCAGCTTTATACAGTTCGTTTTCACCACCATTAAAGTGAGGAGAAACAATACTGTCTTTTATGAAGTACTTCGACACTTACAAAGCAAATTACTACACAAGTGCAAATTATTCTCACATGTAAGTGTGGGATTTCTAGGATACAAACACAGGATTTGAAGAAACCTACGGTGTCGCTAAGTAACTGCTTAATCAAGCAATGACAAACACTTCCCCTCTGCATGAGAAAAGACTGCAACCCTGGAAGTAACGTCCTAAAATGAATGAAACTATCCTTTCCAGATCCACTGCGTCAAACAGGACTATTTTACCTTTCCCCTATCAAAGTTTTGAATGATGGTCAGATGGAGACACTCTTTACGTTGCCACTCTGTTTGCATGGGGTAGTTGAGAAATTCTCTCAGTGGCCGATCCGACCACTCCAACAGCTCGTCGTACAGCAGGAGCGTGTAGGCAGCCTCTACAAGACAAATTACAGCACGGTACTTATGAACACCAAACAAATAAAACAGCTAAACAAAAGTACACAGAAATGTGAACGCTCTTGATGAGATGCACCTTTTTAATGGGTAACTGATTTATTTCAAGTATAAGACAGATGGTAGGGCTGGTTTTGGATAGAGTTACTATCTACAGCTCTAACAAATTCAGCTTACAATTTTCACACACTATTTAAAGTGGAGTCACTGGGACATTTTTCCTGGAGTCTGACAACACAAAGGGAACAGAGAAATTAAGAAACAGTTTCCTGCTTAGCCCTAGTCTTCCCTACCGCTAAGGAGAAACTCTCAATGGCTCTGCTGTCTGAGCAAGGGAACAAGGACCGGAGGATGAGGAACATCAGTAGAGAAAGAGGAAAGAAGACAGACAGGACTGTGGACACAGTCCAAAAGAGATCAGGGCTGGGAGGGAAATGGAGAGGCAGATGTGGGCTTAATAGATTCCATTCTTTCCATAGTAGAAATAAATACCTCATAGCTAAGCCTTAACACTCTACCATAACAAATAACTTGGAAGTGCACCCATAAATTTATTTATTTATTTGTTTATTTATAGGTGCGGAAGGAATCAAACCTATTGTTGCGCTCTGGTCAGAGCACTGTGTAGTAATCTTTAGATCATGGGTAGCAGAAATTATGTGGGAATATCAAAATTATTATTTTTACTTTGATTTAATTTAAAAAAATCCATGAAGTTGATAATAACAAATCATTCAAAATCACAAGGAAGTAAAAGATAGCAGAGCATAAATACATTCCAGGATAGCTCACTATGACCCTTCCTCTCTAACTCGGCATGGAAGTCCTTCGTTTTAACAGATTTTTGTCTGCCATACCATTTTTATGGGTTTTTTTTAAGTTATCATAAACTTATATAGAAGGTTTCTAAAATAAGATGGCCATACTGGACAAAAGGTCCAAAGGGTCCTTCTACCCAGCATCCTGTGTCTGGCAGTGGCCAGCATAACAAATAACATATTGGTACCTCTGGCAGAGGTCTGTAACTATCGGCTGTGCACCAAAACAGTAAGGAGAGATAAACAGGGTTGACTCACGATGTGGGAAATTCAATTTATACAGCAGACAGTCAAAAAACTAAAAATTTCTAAGATGGATAGATACAAAGACAATCTCATTACACTTCTCAGGTGACTGAGGGGACACAAGAGGAATCAGTGCATTTATGTGCTTTGGCTTCAAGAGAGTTGTATTTATAGCTGTAACTGAGCGCTGTGTAAAGAAAGATTTGAAGCTATGTTTTATATTAAAAAGGACTTTTTTTTTTTTTTTTTATGGAGGATTATTAGAAGCAATCCTGTAAATCATACTATGAAAGGAGAGAAAAAATATTTTAAGAGCAAGCTGGCTTCATCCCTATAATGAAACTATGCAGTTAGTGAACTAATGGTGCAACATGTAGGAATGCTGCTGAAGTACAAAACTTCTTTTCCAACTCCCATGTACTTTAGATCAGCTGATTCACAAAAGGTCTGTGTTGTCAGTGATTGATAAGGCAAGGCAATGGACTACATAAGTCTGTTTTCTAGGGCAAAGACTGTCTGTATCTCAATACCATGTGTGAGACAATCCTTCCTTAAGGCTCTCACATGGCAAGAAAAATAATAAAAAAAAAAATCCACAAAGTGGTGGGATGTACCATGGTAAAGAAGGCAAAAATCACACGTTAATAATAAATACACAGGAAAACAACAAAGTCCTGGAAATAAATTTTGAGCAATATACTGTTTAACATAAGAATGGATGGCAAAACAATTAAAAAAATTAGGTTCATATCACCACTGAAGATAAACTGGACACATAGTAGCAGCCAATGTGTAAATGGCACTCTACATTGCTTAAAGAGTTACTAAGATCTGTTATGTAAAATCAGGAAATGAGTAGTTTGGCACAAAAGCCAGCTGTAGCAAAGATACTGCTTGATAATCAAAATTCTCTTGTGATTCACTACTGCCAGGTCACATGAGGAAATTAAAATCTCTCCTTAATATATCCTGCTCTCTAGTCTACATTTTAAACCCATGAACTGCAAAGGGATTGTGGAAATTCCAAGTGAAGGATCTTTTCTATGGATAGCAGAAAAGCATAAGGAAATTTGCTGTGGCAGTAGGTTTACTAGCGACCCCCAGCCAACCAATCTGCTTCTAAGAAGGCAAAAATTCTGGACAGTTTCTGAACACGTGCAGTTGCAATTGCAAACACTGGGGGAAAGATGGAGGTATTATAAGGTCAGTCAAGTATTTTGGCAACCAAAGATTTTTTAAAGATGTACCGATGTTATCTTCTCCAGCAATTATTAATGGCATGTAGCTACCAAAATGAAGTGCAATTTATGCTGTATAAAAAACAACTACGCACGTTATCTTCTTATTTCTTCATTTAAAAGATAATGGCAAGCCCTGGCACTAAACTTGCATTGAGACACCCTGGACAATAGTACTGCAAGTGTGGTATGTGAAGATTCAGAAAGACAACGGCAAAGTGCTATACTTGTCACAGGTTGTAGGGTCTCTGTCTCATTGTTAGTGATATGGATCTTGCTTTCTTTTCCTTTTTTAACCTAAAAATTAGGTTCTGAAGCACAGCTGTGTCAAAACACTACACCAAACAGCTAACCCAGCAGCATTACGAAAAACTATATAGGCTCAGATACTACCAAATGGACTCATAAAAACTTCCTCTAAACTTTACTCTTCTTAGGTGAAGAATGACCGTATCACACATTTATTGCTAGTGCGTATCAATAGTAGTCATTTACATTCAACGTGGCACAGCAAGTAATAGAGTTGTAGGGCTGAAAAAAAGCCATATTTTGAGAGAGATTAATTGGGCAAGGAAACTCGGCTGTCGCCTGGGTCGGTATTTTCCGCACTGAGGATACAGCTTACAGGTTTGCAAAAGACTGCAAATCACGGACCGGTTCTAAAAATCTTTTTCTAGTTTGTACTCAATTACCTGTGAAGTTTTGTGCTTTCAGATGTAGGTCATAGAGCTTATGAATATAGCGAATATACATCTCTTCCTTGTTCAGTTCAGTCTTGTAAAAATTCTGCAATAAAATTGAATTTTGTAATGAAATGCAGTAGTTAATACATGTATGATAGTGGTTACAAACAAAAGACTTTGAACATAATGCCTGAGAAATACATGCATGGATTTGAAAGTTTCACATGTATGAAGTCATTACACAGAACTGCAGTAATGCAATAGGAAATAGAATAGTAAATTTTCAGTAGACAAGTCAACATGCTCCTGAATGTTTTTTTATTAAAATTCTCATAGAACATAACAGGAAGTACCTGATAGAACTGAAATCTGATGGTTCTTTCTTTATAAATACTAACCCATCCAAAAAGTGACAGCACTCTGACTTTTGTATTCATAATTTAACAAAATATCTTATTCATACTTTAACAAAATATCTACTGCCTGGTATGTCTATTCTTCCTTCTGTCATAGCAAAATGCCAGGACGACTTTGGTAGCTTTACAAAGAACTATCCAGTATTGTAAACAGCATAATCCTGAATGAAAAACATGACTTCTTCAGCCCTAACTGATGCTGGGAACTGGTAAGTGATGCATAAATATTGCATTGCATGATTGAAATATAAAAAGTTGCACTGTAAAGTGATATCTAGGACAACATTTCTACAGTGGCTAAAGATTCTTGGATGTATAACTGCTATTTGTTGTTACATGGATAAAATATGGAATGCAACATGAAAACTCCTTATTCAAAACATTCATTATTTATTTGCAAGCCCTAAAACAAAGTATGAAAAAGTTACAGGGAGAGGAGCACAACCCTATAGCACTATTCACAAGTATTGCCATACCGACTATGGACAGGCAGCTAGAGTCCCCCTGCTAGCCATTCTTAACATTACGGATAATCTGCTTTGGTTAATAAAAATTTATAGGATAGAAGAATCTAGCACTAGCCCTTATTATCAATTAATAATTTCTGTTCTATTATTCAAATCACTTACTATTTTGACTCTAAGCAAGTGGCCAAAATTTCCCCCCTATTGTACAGTATTCTTATTCTGTGCCACTGTTGCCTAAATTGAGTTATCAAAGAGAAAGGTGGGAGGAACATTATGAAAATATCAAAATAAAAACTCTATAAAGTATTTTTAAACTGACTTTAGAAAATGATTACATATCGATAGCTTTGTAATAACATGCCCCCTTTAGGCCACCATCTGCCTTTATAATCCAAAGACTTCTCTTTTCCTCCCACAATGTGTAGATCAGAAACAGATGCTTCTCTTTCGAAGAGAAAATGAAAAAATATCTGTTTGTATGTTCATATTTACCTGTCTGGAAAAAAGCATAATCTACAATACAGAATTGCGAGCAATAAAGCATAAAGATGACAAGAAAACACGGCACTGAACTGCAGAACTAGACTTCTTGGCTCTTACCCCTAAGCGCTAAAGGCCCCAGTACTTGTCACAAGTCTGAACTATACAAATCAACTGGTTCTTCTCTGAAGCTCAGCTCTGACAATGTCCAGTTGGTCTGTAAGGCAGACCCACAGCAAGACAACCCAGCCACAGCTCAGGAAATACATCGTGCTAATAAAGGTGTTCTGTGATTTTTCAACAAACTATTTCGAGACATAAAATATAACAGATGTAGTGTTCAAAAGGGGACATGGCGTAAAAAGTAGACTTCCCTAATTAATAGACTTTTTTCCTAAGAAAAAAAACCCAGGCAATGTGGATGCTTTCTACTTATATGGCATGATGTCATATGCCAGTGTAAAGAACAGGAAAATCTCCTCTTTCTAAAAAAGAAGGTATAATTTTAAATTAATAGAACCTGAAATATCAATTAAATGTCAAACCACAATGAGGACCAGAGATGCTTGAGAAAAACTCCTCAGTGAGTTACCAAAAGTTATCCAATATACTTTCAATGCTTCTGTACAGCTCTGTGATGACAGGGTTCTTTCATTAGAAATTCAGCTTTCAAACTGAAGTTAGATGAATCTTATGCATAAGGAACTAATGCCGTTAAACACCTCTTAAACCAGCTTTTCCAAATAAACATTACTAATGTGAAACCTACTCCAGATGATCCAGAGGGCGGGAAGAGTAGGGAAAAAGTTCCTACCTTCTCCTTTCATCTGAGTTATTGCTGCTGGTGCATACCCCTTCTGCATATTTCATGACGTGGCATAATTCCAGACAATTTGATAATTTGGTTAACTTGGACAATTTTATTTCCTGGAAGGACAGTATCTACCTCTATAGCAAAACAACGTACAAATTCTCTTTTCATGACAACCAGTCCTCTTTGGAAGTTGGAATACCTTCAAAGTAGTGGTGAAAAATGAAATATTGCTTCCTCTTCTGGACTTCAAGTAATGTTAACATTATACATTCTTCTAAGTAGTTGTTGCATGAAACATCTTTTGAGATGACAACCAGTTTATCCATCATATAGGCAAGCAAATGTCTTAATATTTGTGTGCTACTTCTGTAATTGAAACTTCCTTTTCAAAATTTAGCATTTGTTGTTTCTCTGGTGTGCAAATACTATTAAAATTTGTATGAAAATTATTTGGATATGAAATCTGCCTTAGCCTGTAGAAGTCATTGAAAATCCCATTAAAAAGTGTTATGGTGTTTTGGCGCTTTTAAATATTTGAATTTTCTTTTTGTGCAAATCTTGGATGATTTGCTAATAATAGTTTAAAAACTCCTTAGTGATAGGATGAAAATAATCCAGGTGCTTTGCAGAATTCAAATCATGCCAGAGCTTCTGACACAAAGCCAGCTGCTCTATGGGCACGTAGTAAACATCATCCCTATTTAGAGAGCACTATTTTCCTACTGAAGAAATCCTTTATTCTCTTATGTGTAACTGCTACTTAGAAGTGATACCAAATTGTTTCACTGACGTCAAAAATGCAGAATTACAAGTCAGCTTATTCTGTTTTTTTCCTTGGCTAAAAATACAGCTTTCCAAAACATTCACCATGAAAACGGAAATTTTCCAAGGTTAACAGAAGTCAACAAACTTGTCAGTGGAAACTGGCCTAGAACCAAAAGGCATGTTGTAAACAAAAATGAAATCTATTTCATACTACGAATTGGCACTGTTGGTTTGTCATGATGATAACATGACAAGAGGAGGTCTTGAGCAGCATTTCTGGCTCTTCTGGGAAGACATTACATAGCCTGCAGTCTTCAGAAGATATCCTATATTATATGTCATAAGAACCAACCTGTGTCAGTTGTTGGGGAAGAAGGGAAACAGGAGAAACCACGTAAGTTTTGTTGGGTTTGGGGAAGGAGGAAAGGCTTATTTGTTTCTATGAACTCAGAGACCAATTAAACTTGGAAAATACTTTGATGAAGTTTATCCAGTAGGAAGAGACTGAAAACTGAATAAAGCAGTATTAGAGATCTCTTAGAGCCCAACTATAAAATGCCAAGAAAGACTAACTACCCACTGTATGAATTTCACCCTGAAAAAAAATAAAAAATCAGCGATTCTAAGTGCAGTATTATGCTGTCAACTTCCACTCAAACTGCTTCAAGAAGCAAGGTACCTTGTATTCAAATGTGTGGCTGTATACTAGAAAATGCTCAACTGAAATAAAAAAGGGAAAGAAAAGGTATTATACAAACCAAAAGGCTAACAGTGCAGCCAATCTTTTTGCCATCCACTTCTCCCATTTTCATGCAGTCCCTAAAACAGAAAGTAATGAAAGTCAACAGGAACGACGTTTATCCTCCTATAAGTGAAGCACACCTCAGAAAACAGACATATTTGGCTTGGCAAGCTGAGGGAAATGATGCAACGCAAAGGCATTTGGGTGAGCAGCTGACCCAGGTGCGTAAGGGATTTCACACCTCCTTTTCTAGGACATGGAATACATCAGTTGTCAAGAAAGTCAATGTTTTTTTCTGGCTCTGTCATTGATTGCTAGGTGACTGCTGGAGATCATTTGGTTTCTTCATAGCTTGTGCTCAAATCACGCCAGCAGAAGCCAGCGTGGCTGCCAGAAGTCAAGTGCTCTCAGGCACTCATTCCCAGTCCTGCACTCATGCCTGCACAAACCTCAGGAAACGAAACAGGTTAGGCAGCATCTTTTGCTGGTGACTTTTAGCCCATGTCAGTCAGATCACCAAAGCGCAGCACAATACTTGTGTTGGCACAAGGAAGAGGGTGATGTGAATGAAGGAATGAGCAGGGATGAGTCTGATTTCTTCCTCTAAATTCGTCATGGAATTACAACATTAATTCCTCCTCTGGGAAAAAACTATAATGTCACTGACCTCCTCTGTAAAATGCTCCAAGATTGACCAAATATTCCTCAGTAGCACTTTACGATCGGTATCATTTATTGTTTGGGGAGGCAACAGATCTGATCCCCAACTCAAAAGTTAAATGGAACCGCGCAGAGTTTGATAATCATAAAGGGAAAAATAGCGTAAAGGGAAAAATAGCATCAGTATAACCATTCTGGAGTAAAAAAATGACAGGCAGACATCACCGTGCAGTCACTAAAAGAAATTTAACGTAATTTTAAAACTTTCTTGCATACATGAGCTACACAATCATCCCGAATACTTTCGTAACCACCAGTATACACACTTGTTTTGAAAGATGTTGGATTGACAGCCCTGGAGGTTGTAAACCAACCGATCCCTGAAGAGGACTAGCACTGCCAGGCTTCTAGAAATTAAGAGTTTAGTCTCTTTGTTGACAAAATAGCTTTCTTTTCAAACTATCAGTGAGAATAGCAAGTGGAGTACCCAGTCTTACCATGTGTCCAACATGGAATCAGGGGGAAAAAATTGACACTTAAGCTCTGCAAAGTGTTACTTTGGCGATAATGAGGACTAAGCTGAAATCTGAGGTTTCTACATGGACTTCACAAGTGACTGAGAAAATCCCTCTTAGTCTCCCACTCCTGAAAGGGAGCACATGTCTCTTATTTCCCTCTCCTTTGTTCATGTGGCACAGTTAGATGTAAGCTCCTCACTCAGAGATCATGTCTTTGTATACATACTTACTGTGCTGGCTGACGCTACAACTAAGCATGATTGACATAGTGATAAGAATTTTACATATTCTGTAAAACAACTGTCAGGTGATTAGTGTTGAGCTCTGTGCCTTCAGACACACTTGAGTCACTAACCTACTGCTGAAGTTCCTATATTCCTGACAGGAAAATCGTGCAAGCCCCTGGATTTTCATACCATGGAGAGGCTACTTGGTTGGTTTTCAGCCTGCTCGTCTCATTTTCCTGTTGAGTAAGCAGTTGCTGTCAGAGATCCTGAGGACGTACAGTTGATGTGTCCATGTGCAGTCACCATTTGTGCAAGATCACCACGTTTGTCTCCTAATATTTCAAAGGTGCCCACCCTACTTATAAATTGTGGTAACAACTCACCGGTAGTCCAGCAACCTCTCCATGAGGCGAGTCACAGTGGCGATTAATGAAACACCACTTTCTCTCCATGTTTCCCGCTCAATTTTCTTCAGTAGACTGAAAAAAAGAAGCCAGAACAATTTCACCGTTTATTTTTAACTGTCGCTATGACAACCACTCCAATTTACCAGTACCTTAATACCTTAGCAACATCTTCGATAGATAGGTTTTCTTTTACAAACACCCTCCCAAGAAGCACAATTTGCAAACAGTGTCTTACCTAGGATAAGGACCAAAAAGTGGAATTCTAGTCCAGGAAGCATTGACAAAACAAATGATTTTTATATTAGCTGCATTAGGTTAAAATATATCAAATACCTAATTTTCAGAATATGTTAATATCCCAAAGACTTAACAGAACTCTTACACAAAATTTATATACTAATTTCATGCTGATACTTCAGAAAATAGGGAGTTTAATGATGTACCTAGAAAAAGAATATTTATCAACTCAACATACCTTTTCAATGGGACCTCAACATTTTTAACCAAGATTTTTCCTCTTCTCTAATATTTCAGCACACATGAAATTTAAGAATGGGGAAGCGATTTTAATAAGAAGATTCCCCCTCTTCACTTAGTATTACCGTCTGAGAACATACTATCATGCACATGTAAAATTCCATTAGCTTAAATTGTCATAAGGTTATTAAAAACTCTGTTGTGTTGAATTCTTACTCTAATGTAAACATAGATTACACATTGAAGGGAAAAGATTTCAAAATGGTTTTGTAAATGGAGCTGTCAGTAAAAATATAGTTAATATTTCTTTCTGTTACAGGCTTCTCATTTTTACTGCTTAAGTTTATCAAATATTAATCATTTGGGCATGAATTTCCAACATTTCCTCTCTGAGAATGAACAAGGAAATGTTTATCTACAGAGTTGCCTTACTTTCATTCTTTGGTGCAAGACCTCAGATGGACAACATGTCCATGGAGGTATTTTAGCAGTCTCCCTGAAACCGCACTCAGGGTTTACTTCGAAGTCTCTGAAAACTGCCACATCCATATACTTGGAGCTTTTGAGAGAGTTGTTAATAGCATCTCCGAACCTTCTGTCTGCAGCGGGTAAGCTGTCAGCTCCACTGACCTTCATCTATACTGAGCATGTTCAGTCCCATAAAACTCCTACGTCGAAATTTCACCAAACATATAACAGCGCCCAATAACTCCTACATGCCAACTGCACTAGCTATACACTCCAGCTCTGTTCAGCTCCTTCCATACAGGGGGATGTCACAGATGCAATTCTCCAAACTAATTCAATCTAATGAAGCTGTGCTCTGCTGGAAGCAAGGAGGAAACGCTGTTCTTCATTCTGCATCCTTATATCGATCTTAGACTCACCTCTTCTCTTTAGGAGAAGATGTCTTTCCCTCACATTCAGAGACTGACTACCTGTCTGAAGCACTAATCTGGCACTTCTGCTTTCCATACAGAATACACAGGCTAATTTAATTCACTTTGAAACCCCTTACATTCCTTTCAATACAAGTTTTTGTGTCTAACAAGAAATAAGGGTAGAGCCTGTTACATTATTAAGCACTGATTACTGCACTGATTTTTCCTTTCTATTGCCTTTCAACCCTGTGTTAAACAGAAACATTTCAACCTAAATTCATCAAAATAATTACCTAGAGTTCCTGTAGAAAATCAGCAGAAGTCTGACTTCTCTTTCAAAACAGATATTTTTCAGCTGCAGTTGACTTATGCATGTTCTTTATAAATGTATTGGCATATTCATTATAAATACACAATTACTACAAATGGGTTGTGTAGATACATTCAAAGTACCTATTCAAATTCACATCAATGTCATCAGTTGAACAATTTTATGACTTGCCTTCTGATGCATGCCTCCCCCTCTCCACCATACATCTTGCACCACAATGCACAGAATAAAAACTCAGAATGAAAGAACTACTCAAATATATCCCTTGCCTGCCTCATGGCTATATCCAGATAGAATTAAATTCCTGTTACCTACTGGACCCAAAGCATAGTCAAGATGCTATGTTCTACAAAGCACTAAGGGGGATAAACACCACAGAAAACACAATGAAAAAGCTTCTGCCTATCCATGCTACTATAGCCTGACATCTGGGCTCACCGGTGCAGTTATGGGTTTGATTTTTCTTTTTTCAATCTTGAGTTCCCAAGAATAAGAGAGTGGAGTGGGGACTCAGAGGATCAGAGCCCTCCAGGGATGAACACCAGGCTTAGAACCATGTTCAGGCTAGCTTGATCATCTAGTAAGTGGAGTTTATATGCCTAAGCCACAGAGTTATTCAGCCCACTAACTCACAGGCATCTAATCCTAGAGGTGCCTTAAAACATCTGGATGTCTATTTTGGAGTACGAAGTCCTCCAGGTACCTCACTATAGCCAGAGGTTCCCTCATCTAGTCAAAAGGGTCACAGTTTTTGCGGCAAAAGTTCAGAGATCGCTGAGGAGCTACCCAAACCTCACAAAAATGTTCAGGAGGGCTCTGAAAGACTCGGTCCAGACAGTGTCAAATGGACTGGGCAGTGCTGAATTCAGTCATGCAACTGGGGGAAGAAATTAAGAAGACTGCAGGCAGCAGTCATCACTTTTTATGCAAAAGCTTCATGGCTAGAGAAATCACCCACAAACTGGCAGAGCTCAGTATTAAATGCCAGCTCAGATTGAACATCAGCTCCAATTTTTTCCAAAAAGAAGCCTTGTCATCAGGCCAGGTTTTGTGCTTTAATAATGTGGCCACCTAACCTCCAAATCTGCAGTGTGTTACGCCAAACTGGAATACAGCTACAGAAGTAATAATCTGGCAGCATCAACCAGATTCAGAACAAAAGAGCTACTTGAGTATATCCCTTGGCTTCCAAGGATTTTGTTCTAAACACCAACTGTTTAATAAAGTGAAATCATTCTTGTCTCTGTGCTAATTAACTCGGAATTCAATTGCAGTGTGACAGTGTAAATGTAGATCAGGACACCTTTCATACCACGATTACACTGGGTAGCAATTACAACATCTAGTTTCTCATGACAGCAAAATGTTCACTACTCCATGCTTTGCAGCTCTTCGAATGACATCAGGAGCTAATCGCTGAGTAGTCACATTCAAGTCCCTAGAAAGACATTGATTCAAAACAAACAGCAGTCATCTTCCCCCTACTTTCACTATGTCTTTTCATTTGGTAAAGATAACTCAATTATAAGCAGTGAATTCTAAGCACCTAATATTTTAGATACATCCAGAGATGCTTATAATTTGTCCTTGAAAATAGAAGATGTTCGAAGGATTGTCTCTGGAAAAGAAAAAGCAGTTCATGTGGGAGTTGAGAGACTTAAATTCATTTTCCGATTCAGACAAAATAAACAAAAAAGCACGACAAAATCTGAAAGTGTCACACCCACTGCAGTTACTAGACTGTATCCCAAATAGGTGTGTGCATTCCCTTGGCTCCCAACCGTACCTATCAAAATCAACCATGCTGAATCTTCAAAAAGATCAGGTAATATTGTAGCCTTTCATTAAAGACTACAAAACCACTATATTACTGCTTCCCAGTCCTTGGGTACATACCACATCTCAGTTTCTGTCACTAAACAAGTCTGCTTTCTTGCACTAAAGACACCCTAATATTCTTAGTTTAAATTGCCCATGGAAGAAATAAAAAAAAGAAATCTCAGGCTAACTGACCCCATCCCTTGCATCATCTCAGTCTCTGTCACTAAACAAGTCTGCTTTCTCACACTAAAGACACCCTAATATTGCTTAGTTTAAATTGCCCATGGAAGAAATAAAAAAAAAATCTCAGGCTAACTGACCCCATCCCTTGCATTCAGCTCCCTAAACTGCCCATCTGATTTTAATAATTTCCCTTCACATACCCTAGAACACTACGTCATCCTCCATTTTAGATTAGTATCTTCTGCAAGCTCTCCTCTTGAGAGGTGTTAATATATGGAGTCAAATCAAACTCAGATAAAAAACCTAATGATAACTACTATCTTTTCTTAAGCTGGAAGTGAACTTGAGCAGTTAGTCTGAAATTTCCCAAAGACTTTACTTTTAACTTCTGTTATACCAGAACAGAAACAACAAGTATACTGATGCTGTGAGACATTTTGCAATTTAAATTACTATGGCTATGTCTTCAGCATTTAGATTTATAAAAGGCTCTCACCACTTTTCACTGTATCTTGTTTAACATCTCCCAGTTTAAATCTAACTCAAAACCATAAAAAAAAATTAGGAACAATATTTCATACCAGTATGCTTTCTTATAGAGTTTTAAGTTATTTCAGTGACAGACATCTTGATGTATTTTACACAAGAGAATGCATTTAGACTTCATTTTTATAATTAGAGATTTTCCCTTAATGACTTAATTTTGAAGTTTACTGTGTTAGTAAAATATTGAAATCATCCTACCTTTTATTATCTTTACTCAGATAATGAAAAATGTCATGAATAATTAGAAGAAAGTTCTGCTTTACCATACTGTACTGTTGTTTACCATTATTCATGCATTTTCATAATATTCTGCCTAATCTCTTTTCCCACTTTTGCTTCTGTAAATGATAAATATTTAGGAACTCTATTTCAACTCAAAACAATTACAGATTATTATATGTTTGCTACTCAGAGACACTGAGATCTGAATGTTGTTATTTAAGCAAAGACAACAGAGCTAAAACTAATACTTAAAGAAGAAGGAATGGATGAGAAGCCATATAAACAGAAAAAGATCATGTGTTTAATAGTACAGAAGAATACACAGCTTGGAATCCTGAAAAGGAACAATACATCTCTGCTAAACACACCAGAAATAAGTGAAATCATCCACTTAGGTGGAACTGAGTTCTGAGGAACAACAGAGACAGAGTTCGGTTAGTTATTTTGTACCTGTACTCTGTGACAATCATTTACTTCAGTCAATGGGATAACTTATGGGCAACCTTGGAGACTTCAGAAGGATTATTAGCTTTTCCTATTAGATTTCAGTGATACGTCATTCATTACAATATACTAAAAGCTTAACAAGTAATTTATAAAAATAAAAGAATAAGAAATAATCTTACCAGAATAAATAAAATTGCATACATCAATCAAGAAATCAACAAGTGACGTTACACAGATGAGTACAAGTTTCTGGCAATAGAAAATTACTTACTAAACAGCTTTTTACTGAATACTTATGCCATGTTTTCAAAACGCTCCGTCTGAGCTCTACCTGCACCCTATGCAATTATGAAGCATTTTTTGCCTTCCTGATTTTAAAATTAGTAGGTAGAGAAAGAGAATGTTCTGTGATATAACAGATTTAGCCTTTTCCAATTATAGCTGTATGCAAGAAGTACAGCCAGACTTTACAGATGCCACACAACACCATAAAATGTCTTATGCCTCAGATTTTCAGGAAAAAAAGAAAAAAGAAAAAAAAAAAGAGATTCACAACTGTTTTAAGCATTACTTCTCTACAATGACATTAGCATCCAATACAACCAACTGAACTCAAGGAATTAGCGTAAGATAAACATATTACTCACATACTGTTGAAGAGCTCTCGGTATGTTTCGTCACCTTTACCTTCCGACATCAGGCTGTCCAGTTTGTCAATCAGTTTTGCTTCTACCTGCAACATATAAGTGTGGTGTAAACACCTTCCTTTTCCTTTAATGAGATTAGAGAAAATGGAGAGATTTGTTTTTATGTAAGGGACTTTGCTAAATGCTATCTTAGAATTCTTGGTCAATCATGTAAATATGATGATAAGTCCCTTTATCTCTTTGAAGATGTTATCGTTCCCAAGGTTTGTGAGGTTTTCTTTTTTTGGTGGTGGTTTTTTTCTTTTTCTTTTTTTTTTTTTTTTTTTTTTGAGGGAGGGAGCTAATTTAAATTGAGCAACGTGACTTTAAAACTACAGGCTGAGTAGCATTTGCTGCTGCTAAGGCAGCTATCTATTTATGGAGTCAGACAAAAAGCACACAGCCCAAATAAATTGCCTGAATTCTCACTGCAGGGCTGTAAGCACAAGCCGTTTTCTTAGACTTCAATGAAAATCTCATCTTTTCTGATCTGCACCCTACTCTTTATAAATTAATTTTTATAAATGTCTGTACTGTTCAGAACACTTGGGGGCTCAGACTTACTTTCCCAACCTTCCTCACCTGCCAGTGTATTTGGCTAGAAATCTAATTTGCTGGATTTACGTATTAGCTATCAAAGGAACTTACAGAAAACGTATCTGGTGGCTAATGACTCCTTCAATACCCATTTTAAAGTGTATTGATTATAAAAAAATATAGAGAGGTGAGGCTACACTGTGTGTTAATATTTCAAACCTCCTTTTTAGCAGTAATATATTAGCAATCACAAATCTAGGGGAGAAACCAAGCTGTTGTCAAGATATTTTATTAAAGAATAAATCTATTACAATTTACATTTAAACCCAAGCTGAAAACACACAGAAGCAGAATAAGTGGAATTTTTCCTTCTCACTCCTTGTTAACATTTCTATGGTGATTTTTAACAATAAGGTTATATACTGACAGTGAAAAGCTACCTATTTACATCACATGCACTCCTCCGTTCTTAATAGTTTGTTTTGTGTTTCAGATACAGCTCCCACCCTAAGCATTATGATTGCCTGGGAGTAAATCAAATACTTCTGCTTTCCTTCATTTGAAGCAGCAGGAAGGAGGGCACCGAGCAATGGTTTGAGGCAGTCTGAAAGAACTGAGTGGGAGCTGTGGGACCAGATGGCACACTTGGTCGTTCCTTCCTAGCCCGTTAAGAAGGTGTTTGAGCAGCAAAAATACTTGGAACCTTACAGAAGAACATTCCTCAAAAGGACCATCTGATCTTTTTTTCACACTAACGGGAAGGGAAGCTAGTCCAGCCCTACCTAACCAGTAGTCTGCACTGCTGTAAAGCAGAGATGAAAAATCACCACAACAAAATCAGCCTTGTTGAAGACAACTCGAGTTTTGTTCTTCACTTCGGCAGGCCATGGATTTTATCCTTTCTCTTACATTACTAACACGATAGCATTAATTGGAGAATCTCACTACCCCTGCAGAGAGTAAAAAGGGAAAACTCTGGTAATCCCTCTCCAACAGGTATAATGTTGTGGCTACCTTCTCCACCCTGAACCACCAGTGGTTGGGACCAGCACTCTCTGAAGCGCTTGAATTTCAGTCCTGTTTTGAAAACCGCTTCACACACAGTACCTGCTTAAAGTTGCCACTTCGCCTTTGCTCCCAGTCCATCATGTCATGGAAAATGGGAATCATTACATTCCTCAGGTCTGGCTGAGGGATCAAGGTCACTTCCAGGAAGGGGCCAATCAATGCTGGAATAAAGTGAAGCTTGTGTTCCCCTAAAATGAAAATTAACGTGAACTTGAATGTGAATTGGGTGTCCTGTGAGTCATCAAGCAATCCAAATACTATCTGAAGAATTAAAAAACAGCACTCTAAATGTCTATAGGGTTTTTTTAATCTCACGTCCATCACAGCATGGGCTATTTCTTAAGCCCAAACTGTGAAAAACTGCAGACAATACAAGAATATAAGGCCAACATAATTTATCAGATTTTATTACGCAATACTGAGTTCAGAAGTGACAGTGGGTTATCTGTATCCCAAGTTAGTCTTCCAGAAGGAGAACGAAGAGAGACAAAGCACTCCCTGGGCATTTAACTTATTTTTCACAGGAACAGCTTAGAAACCAAGCTCTACATTCTTGTGTTTACAAAATGGTTAACTGTCTGATATTACATGCTCATCAAAAAGAGGTGAGTACCTTGATTTTTACTTATCTTTAGTTTTGTGAATACAGAAATGGAAGTACATGTTTTGATGGCAGGAAAGGGAAGATGTGACTCAGCTGTTCTCAAAACAACTCACTTTAAAATCAGTGCTAAAACATCTTCCATTAATTCACCATATTCTATTTCGCTGAAACTACAAAACTAAATTCTTGTAAGGAAAGCTAGAAATGGCATACAGTAAAGATTGACCATTCACTTTCCGCAAGTAAGACTTCCGATATCTTCAGAGTAGGGGGATTATGAATCACAATGCACTGACTTTCCAAGCTGGGCACTAATTTCTGTCCCAGCCTACCCCTGGATATTCCGGTGGGCAGTCACCCCGGCCGGCTGCTCTGTTTGGTGTCTGTGTTTGTGCAAAGGAAAACCAGAACTCCCTTCACTGGAAACATCCTGGGATGCATATCCATACGAAAGCGAGGTTACTGTACAAGGATGAAGGCTTATGATGACTCCTACTGCTAAGAGAACTGTAAAATGCTGACTAGCGTAACACCAAGTATATGAAATATCTTGACTACAGTATTTAATTGGACACATTACCAGAAGAACTCCGTATTGTACCCTACAGAACTCTTCCCTACTGAAACGCATCACAATTCCCTCCTTGCCTGCATATTGGGTTTCTGTTCAGCAGAAAACAGTGTGAGTAGGGAGGTGATGCACACTAAAGCCTTATCCTTTGTGTGCAGGAAGGAGATGGGACCCAGGAGTGGATCCTTGATATACCAGTGTAGAAATACCCATCACTTATCCAAATAATTTAGAGATGCCTTAGAGTCAGTAAGCAATACTTCCTACTGTAAGTAAAATATGCTACACAACAAATGGTAACAAGATATTAATAAGCAAATATTTCTTTTTTGAACATTTCTCTTTCTAGTACAGGCCGATCAGAAAGACCATTTTTTTTACAACTATGTATCTTACTGGGGAAAAGATTTATAGAACTGAGATGACAGTATCTCAGTAACCACCAATGGTCTTTGTATCTTTAATGAGCCATTTAATGAAGTGAACTATTGAATAATTGAAATATAAAGATGACAAATGCAGTGTCCAAATCTTCTACTCAGTTTTGACTTTCTTCCCAAACAACATTTAATTACATTTCTCTGAGGCTCATACTTTCAGTTTGCACAGTTATTGCTTATAAATATAAAAATATTCCTAAGTTTATGTCCAAGCATATATTTTTCTCATGTTGTCCAATGCGTCATTTATACATCAGTCACTGATTTGTTTATGCCTTTATATTTTAGTGCAACTAGGACTTAGGGGAAGATTTGATGCAAATCCAGCATCTCAAGAGAGTTTCAGAATTAAGATATATGGCTGTTCCTTAAACTGTTTGGCAACAGAACTACAATTGTGAACATAAGTATATTTCCAGGCATAATAATTCTGCCCAAGAAGAGCAGTGCTTTCTTTTCTAATTTTCTCTGATGGGATTCTTTTGGTTCTCTTTGAATACATAGGGATAGGTCACACAGAGTATCAAAGCTTAGAAAGCTGAGTTTAGCTACAAAGAAGGGAACTGCAGATGACGAGGGTTTTCCTGAACTTGAATCAAGACTTCATGTGAACTTAGTTATGATCAACTCTTCTATTACTGGCAAATGTATTTAGTCGTCAAAGAAATAATAATTGTTTTTCATTTTATGAGATACCGATGATGTGTTTAATTCCTTACCTAAATTTTGCCACATGCTGAAGATTTCACATCCCATTGTTACCCGCATGTCACCATATCTGCAATGTATTTAAAAAATAAAGCAAAACAGTGGAAGATCATTTAAAGAAAATCAAGTTCATAAGCCATTCTGTGCCATTTTTAAGTGAAATGTCTCATTTGTAGTCCATAAAAAATTACTTCAAAAGTGACGATTTCTTCCAAGTTTTTGCTCTTTCCATTGCACCCAGCTAAAGCCGGATTCCTAAACTCAGGTTTATTTGCAATATTGTCAAAAGTATCAGTTCTTTCTAAATGCTATCAATCAGTAATACAGCTGTGAAGTAAAAGCTTTTTTTTTTTTTTCCAGTAATATGCTGTAGTTGTCTCTCTGAGAACAAATAGTTTTGCTCTAGCTTAAAGACATAAAATTAATTTGTATGGACAACAGTGCAGTGCCTGGCAGAAACACCTGAACCAGTCTGAATCGACTTATGCACAAACTGGAAATTAGTGTTGGCACTGCTACACAATGGCTATTTTGCTCCCAATCTCTGAACCAATTCTGGCATTTCTATGAAGGCTGCTATCAGCCCAGAAGACTGATGATACCAGTTGGCCAGAACCAACTCTCATTCTAGTCAGTGGAAATATTGTGACCGTTACCTTTTAGTAGGCCTTTTTGCAACCTCCCGTGTCTTGCATTTCGAGAAGCAGTTGAGCTATTACAGTTTTCTAAAAGCTGACAGCAGTACTTACTTTTCTAAAACCTTTTTCTTCTTGGAAGGTGTGAACATCTCCAGTTGCAGACATAACTGGTTTATAAAAATGACAGCAAGAAAAAAGTAGGAATCCCATATCTACAATAAGCATATGGCATTTGGTTATTTCATTTTCTCAGTACTACCATTTTACGACTGGTCAATGCAAATTTTCAAATCACATCACTTGTTTCAGTCTCAACTAATAAATTACTCAAACTGTTTTTGGCTAAACTTCTTTGCATCCAAATATACTTTTCACCAACCACAAAATGTTCTGCAGAAATACATCTATTTTACACATTCTACATCTCTTAAATGTAAAAGTTTCAGAGTTGCAGATATGTTGTTTTTTTTTTTCCAATCCCTCCAAACCGGAAAAGTTTAGCTTCTAAATTTGGAAACATTTTTCTGGTATATTTAAATAGAAGATTACAAAAAGTTATGCCTTTAAGTCCAAAAAAACAAAAAATCCTGACACCTCAAAAGCTATCACATAACAGAATTGCCATTCTCTGCCCCATCCTACTTTATAATATTATTTGCAAGTCTCACTTGCTGCAGGCTTCACTGGGCAAAACTGAAGCCAGGTTTTGTTAACATACTGCAAATATACAGATGTTTTGTGCACATGCTTTATGAATCAGATGTTGACTCATCTACTTAGAAGATTTAAAGATAAACTTAAAGATAAATTTAAAATACTTTCAAATATTCATTATTACAATCCAATTATAGATGCTCCATGGCAGGAGGAAGAAAGAAGTGTAGGGGGAGCCCTATTCCAGACACTGCAGTTCTGCAGGGTAGTAATAACATCGCTAAGCACGTTTCAGGAACATAGGTGCCTTGTCTCCAGGAAACCCTTTAATCAGCTTTAGCCTCTGAACTCGTGGAACTTCGTAAAGGATAGGCTTCCTCATGTCCAGTTATGTCAAGTAGACAAATCTGCCTTCCTGCCCATAAATCTCCTTTCCTGCCAATCTCTCCACCAGGAGCCTGGATTTTCAGAGAAGCACCCACAACTCTGCTGGAAGTCAATGGGAGCGTGCTGTCTTCTCTAGGAAGGAAATTCTGAGCTTTTTATGATGAAGCAATTGGACTAATGTCTCTTGGTTGGGCAGGATATTCGTTCAGGTTTCCATGGGAATGGGTCTTTTCAGATGCGTTCCTAGGTCTTCTCATCTGAATCCTAAAAGCATCATTCTCTAATTCACAGTTTATCATAGGTGCCATATCTCACTATATGAGGTACTCACTAACATCTTTAACTACATTCACCATGCAGTGTTATAATTTTCTAATTTTAATTATGCAGCATGTTAATTGGTCTTGAGAGAAATTCCAGAAATGCAAACCCATATATTTTATAAATTTGCATCAATTCAAAAATGGAATAATTTTCCTCTCTGTGATAACTCCAAAATAACAGACAATTAATAAAATTACTCCCTATAATCCAAAAAATTGCTGTGCAAAAGTCCTGAATAAGTAATCTAACATAGAGGCTGAAATAACAAAATGAAAATAAGAAAAAATTAAAAAACCCCACAGCTCTCCTGATTTTAAGACAGGTGTGTATTTAAGAAAAAAACTTAATCTCTGAGCACTTGAAATTGCTGATTTAGTATATGTTCTAGCTGTTTAGATGTTGGAGCTAAGTTTAATAACAACCAAGCAAGCCACAGGATGATGTAGCAGCTATTGCATCTGTCTTACGTTAAACACATTTACTCTACCTTGTAATCAAAGTTTTCATTTAAGAAGTTTTTACGAAGGGCATCCGAAAGGTACAAGACTGTAGTAATGATCACACTGGGAAGAAAAGAATGAAAAAGACAGTAGGTTTAAGTGGAAATTCATATTTAAGACTCAGAGCCAGACAATTTTCCAATGAAGAAATAGATGTAGCATACATGGTGGCATTAAATACTACATTTTAAACACATACAGATATCCGACTATTAACAGCATCTATTGACAGAAAACATGTACATTAAGAAAAAAAAAAAGGTGTGATGTAAGAATGTGTGCTGAAAACATGTTCTGTATAGAAGAATATAATTGAATGAAAAGATAAACCATAAATTTTGTTCTGCAAATAATGCTGATATCAGATTTAACACGCACTTTGCTCTGCTAGCACTAATATATATAGTTGAGCAATTTGCTTTTAGTTTTCTTGGTACTAAAAATATGTGTGTGTAGATTATAAATATAAAATATCTAGTAATTACCAATATACAATACTGACAGCCCTATGGACAAAGAGTCTTTTCAATGACAACAGATAAATGCAAAACTGCATGAGCTCTGTGAGAAAGATCTGCTTCTAAAGATCTCTATTCTGTATGTTGTAAATGGTCATATGTTGCTCTACATTGACACCTGCCCAAATTGTATTAATCTGTCTTAGATAAATATATACATCCAAAATCCTTTCACAGTGGTTGTCACCAGAGGTCAATGACAGCCTTGTTCATTGTAGCAATCAAGTTTGGTAATCTACAGAAACAGAACATCCTTAAAGATTATTTAAATATAATTCATTTCAATGATTCAACCCTTAAGCTAACCTCTGCAGCACTTGTGTCTATCAACACATTTAGTCAAACCAAAAATCCATATAAACCATTAAATTCTTTCTGAAAGTAGTCAGTATTGAAAGCTTATGGGGGAGGAAAAAAGATAAACATAGAATGCTCTTTTCACTGTTACACTCATGTATTTTACCACAATGAACTCTTTAAAGACCTGCAGAGAAAAAAAGTTATATCTACATTTTATTTAATTACCATCTATCTACTATTAATATGTCTCGTACTTCTTTGAACATGGTTCCTGACCTATATGCTGTTACAATGCTAAAATTTGTTTCCCTTTCCATACTTTGGACTTCATTTTTTACTATTTTTGTAATGCATTCAAGACAAAATATGTTTAAATAATATATTTTATTAAATAACAGCAATATATATATATACACATATTTTAAGGTATAGTATTTTTCATCTTCACAACACTGAAGAATTATACATTAACCAACCCACCGAGGCTATATTTTTCTCCTGGTACTTTTGACAGATTTCAAGTTTAAAAATACAAAATGGCTATGTATCATTTAGCTTATTACTAGTTCAAATGTTTGCTTCCATTTCGCTACTCTTAAAATGACTGTCCCTGCCAAACTTTACCTTCTGGTTTGGTGTCTCTGAACACCTGTAACAGCCACATCTGAGACTGCTTTTAACACTGCTTGAGTCTCAAGTTCCATTGTTCAAATGTCATTTTTATACATATTATTTTCTCAACAATTATACTGTAACTTTTTTTACCCAAGTAGCATTCCATGTTTAGCACTCATCGTATAGTTTAGCCCATTTTTCTACCAACAGGGAGTTACAGTGTGTGTACAGCACTCCTTGTTGCAGCAGGGAAAACAAAGTGAAATGTTAACAAACTGTAATACAAGAATCAAGGCATGGATAAGAAGAGTCCTGTCATTCCTGTTATTGTGCATAATTTCATTTACAGCCCATGTGTTTCACAAAATGGAAATAGTTTGCATATTTCAGGAAGATGTTCTGTTAGTGAAGGTCAGTTCATCAGAACTATTGCTATGTAGAATTTCAAGCTAAGTCCAAAGTAATAAATCCCTGAAAAATTGTATGCAAGAGAAAATTCCACAAGATCTCAAGAACTGCAACCATATTGCCAAGTTTACATTACAGAGTTCTATTTAGGGCTGAGACAACTCCTTTCTTCTCACATTCTTTCCATGGCAGGTGAAACTGAAGAGAAAGATCTGCTTAAATTCTTACGAGAAGGTTTTTAGAGTAGAAATCTTAAATTCAATTATTAGAATATTTTTTTCCGGAATTTTCCTGAGATAATAAAATGACTGCAACGCAGGTATTTCTTGCTACGGGCAACATAGCTCAGGTTTCATTTATCTGGTAAGCCAAAGATATGTTATGGATTAGTTTATAAAACATGTGTCTGTAGAGTGAGAGTGTATATGCTGTAGATAAAAAACCTCAAACCATCAGACTGAGCACAGAAAGATGAAGCCATCAGTTTTGACCCACAACCTGTTATTCTGAATCCACAACGAACTAAAGCCAAGTACGATAGAAAACATTGCTAAGGTTGGAGGGTTCTCTTTCCTCTTTTCCTACATGTAATGTAGGTTCTATTAAAAAAAAGCAAACCCACACAAAGCAGAGACAGCAGCCAGAGGACAGATGGACAGCTGCCCGATCTGGTACGATACTCACATTCCAAGTTGCTTCCCAGCCAATGATTTCAAAACAACAACAACAACAACAACATTTATTTAAAATCCATTTGAGTATCAAACTAGAAAACATATGTTTGTGACAAGACTTGCTTTTCTTCCCCTTACCACCTGCCACAAATTTGTTCGCAATCACTGATTGTTTTCCAGGAGAAAAACCTCTGCTTTTAGCTACTAAATTATTCTGGGCTCATCCATGGAATGCTAACCCAAGGTCCGGTTGGGCCATTTTTGACAGAGAGGCTTTTCCATAAAATTTTCACAGCAAACCTTTCTGCAATAACCTGTTTGAAAAATCCAAAGCAGCCCCCAGAAGTTCAACAACTGGTTGGCTGCCAGGACTACACACTGGCAACCTGTCTTTTGCCTGGGTAGCCAACAGGAGAAAATGAAAACTTTCTTTTTCCATTCTGATATGGGACATATATATAACATTAGCTTCTCATTTCATCCTTTGCTATTTCAGAGTGAAATCTTTCCAAGCACAGAGGTGTTTGAACAAAAAAAATGTTTCTTTCATATTTCATAAGTAAATGAAATGAACCTAGAGTCACATATATGTGTATGTATCTACTGTTATATGTAAACAAACTTATTCATACATGCATACTTATGCTTTTTGTGACAGACTCTCAGGTTCAGTTGTTAGCAACATTTTGTATTACATAAAACCAAGAGTGTTGTTAGCAACACTGTGTATTACATAAAAGCAAGAATTTTGGTTCATTGTAGGAGTCTCAGACTCCCACACCATGGGAGCTAACAGGATTCTTCAGAGCAGCCATAATGATGAAATTAATGTTAATTTGATATCTTCCTTTACTGTGTATTCTGTTTGAGCTATTTTAAAAAAAAATAATCATGTCTTCCAGTCGTTATTGAATTAGATAAACAAAAGGATTCTCTGTTTAAAGTCACTATGCCCAACTGTCAGTAGATACATTTGGAATTTTAGTACAAGCAACACATTGTAGTAAATCTTACTCTACAGATCATCCATTTCACTATAAATAATAGTCATACATCCATTTTGTATGCTCATAAAAATTGAGAATTGGATGATCTAGCATCTCTACCATTCAATAAAATGCTTGCAAGGATATACATTAGTTAAACATACAGAGGACTTTAAAATGAAAGTGTCTTGCATACCATGAGCATTGGAAAATCAGTTCATTGTTCAATAATACATAGGCACAGTATGTTATAAATATCAAACCTTTGCTCAGCAAGTAATAGAAACTCACTTTGCCCTCCAACAGCCTCCTCAATGGTTAATGAAACATGACATACCTGGAGTTCAGCTGAGTCTGACAAGTGCTCTCAAAAGATGCCAGTCAATTAAAGCTTTAGATAAGACATTCTTTTCCTAACCTTAGGGTAACTTAAGCAAGTGACCATTACACAGTGACTTCCAGTTGAGAGAGATATTATGAAGGTGTTATCCAGAAGCTTTAATTTTAGTCTGGCATATTTTATTATAGAATTTTAGATTCCTCTCTGGCGCTAGGCAACTGATTCAGACATCTTCCTATATTATGTGGTGTTCATTTGCATTTCCAAATAGAAGCTTTGCTTAGAGGGCCAGCAAGCTAGCCTACTACCTAGTCGATGTAGAAAGTAAGTCTATCCCTATAATGAAAGAAATTAAGACTGTTTTTTCCACAATATACATAAAAACATAATTTGACACTCAGTAGTAACACTCATGTTAGAAATATTAGATAACCATTTTGCTTTGCTGAATGTATGCTGATTAGCTCACTACAAATACGGCTATGCAGTTTTAAACAGAGTTAATTTCTGTCTCATTGCTCAACTGTTAGAAGCTAATAAACCTTAAGGATTTTTTGCATGTTCTCTTCCCTCCTTCACAGAACACAATTAAAAACCCCCCTATTTCTCTGCTTTAGTGCTAAGTCTACCATTTTAAGTGTTACTTTATTTCTCAAATTTTGGAAGTCATTAATACTTTTTCATGATGGGCATCCCAACATTCAGAATTATAGATTATGCATGTGTCATCATGAAGTATCTTAATTTCTGGATAGTTACAGATTTATGTCCATGAGCTCACAGTATCTTCTGGGGTTTTTTTAATCCCAGACAGGATCCAAGTATCAGATGCTACGTAATTACTGAAAATACTGCAACAAGAAAGGAAAAAATCTAGAAGCCAGGGGGCAGCAATATTTTTATATATAAATATTATATATTGAAAGACTTATGGTATTTTAAGATCTAATAATCTTTCAGGTAATTGAAATTCTGCATGTATAAATAAGAGAAAAAATGAAAACTTTTTTTTCTCCCCCTCAGGAAAAGCTTATTACCTGATTATATCCTTGCTAGGACTCATTTCTTCTCTAGGCTCAGACAGGCTAAATCTCTCTTCCTGTAAACACCAGACAGTTTGAATTTTTATATCACTCTGGGGACAGGGGAGAGAGAAGACAGTGCTGCCGGTGATGTGATTGCAGTGATGGGTGAAGCTCCCAAGACGCACACTGCCTTCAGATTAGCTACCGGTTCTCGGGTTGAAGCCCAGACAGCCGAGAAGGCGGCCATCCGACAGAAGAAACACGACAGTCATTTTATTCCTGGGAAGCAGGACTTAGAGAAGATCCAGCCTGTTAATGGATTACTTGAGTATGCTCTTAAAAAAAGATGGGCTAAACTGTCTGGTTTTTCCTTTTAGACATGAACAGAGCAAGGAGTTCAAGAGGTTTTGCCTGCAATCCTGAAGAGTCTCAGATCATTGGAAGCGCTCTGGCTCATCAAGCGAAGCTCAGGGAGAACGGCTCACAGCCACTTCTGTCTGTGGTGCAGGCAGTGCCCTCATTTATCATCCTGCCTCGAGGCATTTAAAGATTTTGGGGTGAGACAATTCTAGCTGTCCTGGTTTTCAGCTGGGACAGAGTTAATTTGCACAAGCAGCTGGGAGGGGACACAGCTGGGACAGCTGACCCAAACTAGCCAAAGGGATTCTCTATACATTAAGACCTCATGTTCAGTATATAAGGGGGGAGCTGGCTGGGGAGGAGGGGTTTGTTGCTCAGGGCTGGGCTGGGCATCCAGCTCCGGGGGGTGAACAAATTGCATTGTGTATCACCTGCTTTGTATATTCTAAGTACTGTTGGTTTTTTGCCCTTCCTTTGCTGTCCCAGTAAACTGTCCTTATCTCAAGCCACGAGTTTCCCCTTTTTCTTCTGATTCTCCTCTCCATCCCACTGGGGAAGAGGGGTGAGCCGCGTGGGTGCTCAGCTGCTGGCTTCAGCTAAACCACGACACTAGCAAAGCTGTGTGGCCCTGTGCTTTTGCACACCCCGGGGAAGCTGAAGGAAGGCAGCCATTGCAATGGCAGTGGAGAACATAAGTGAAAAGAAGGAGCTCCTGTTCAGAAGCAGCTCCAGAAAAACTAGTGCTCTGCAGCTGAGGAGAGAATAGAAGTGGATTTTCTTTTCTGCTGCCTCAAAAAGGAACAGAAACTAAGCCATAGATATATAACATAGGAACGAGGAGTCTTTAGTTCACACCACACTTTTAAAGACACCTGGCCAACCCCCTGTTTCAGAGCAAACCAGAATTTCCTCCACTAAGGAATGAATGCCTAGCAAAGCAATTACTGAATGCTGAACTGGTAAAGATGCATTTACATCCCACTTGCTGGCAGTAATACTTATGCAATTGTGTGTTATTGGGTTCAGTTAGCCGACTGGTTTCTCATGGCCAATTCCCATCAGCAGTTATTATCAACTTCTGCCTATCTTCTTTGCTGGACAGAACTGGACATAGAGTCACGTCCTCGATGGTCAGAAACAACATGACATGGATTAATACAAGGAGATGTGTGATGCTAACAAAAATACTGGTGCAAGTAAGTATTCCTTTTGCAGAACTTAGTATCATCATCTTTAGCAAATCTGAACACCACCAGCCCGAGAAACACGTGCCAGGGTCGTTCCTAAATCTTAGTTTTGTACATGTCAGCTGTTGCAAAGCTATCTGCCAAGCCAGCTGTTTCTGGAATATATAACATTTTCTTACATTATCTATTTAGTCTAAAAGTTCCTATGTTTTTCCCCCCTCTTTCCTGTGTTTCTTAATTTATTTCTTAAACATGATTACCAGATGCAGGCTGGTATCAGCCGTTTCTTCTTTAATATCATACACAGAAACAAATGATCAAATCCATTCTTTGATTATTAACATATTTTTTTTCTGGAATTCAAACCTAGCAAGATTAGCAACACTAAATGAGGTAATAAAAATAAGCAAGAAACATTTTTTTTTTTTAAGTAATGACAAAGTTTGAACAAATACTATGATGCTTGCATATCTACACACACACACACTTAACAAATATATATCACGAACACAAGTTTTGCCAAATTTAATTGTAACAATAATATTGTTACTAGTAGTCTGTACAGCACCATGAATTTAAATTCTCCTTGGAGCCAGCAAGAACAATGCAGACTAAAAACCAATTTCCATCAGGCATCGCAATATGTACCATGAAGTACATGTCATACATACATACATAGTACAGTCAATCCAAAATCCTGGATTCCTAGGTCTACCCAACACAACCCAATGATGACATTGATATTTTTATAATTGTGTTGACTGTTCAGCTGGCTTATCTGATCAAAAGCTAAACCTACAAAAAATGATAGCTGGTGATATAGGTGAAACAAAATTCAATAGCTTTAGGCCCGTTGTAATGACTTGTCAGAAACGCTGGGAACATGTTTCTCTAAAAATAAGGGCTGAGCAGAGAAAGAAGAGCTCAAAGGCAGGTTGCACCTCAAAGTCTCACTAGGCAATGCTTAAGAGCCCTACAGTACTGTTGCCTGTGCTGTACCCCATTTCCTGATTTGTGATTTTTCTGACAAGCACTAAATTAGCAAACGTGCAAAAACATCGTTAATGATATCACAGCAGATAATTTCTCCTTGAGAGCAAACAGATCTTTACCAACTCAGCATTTCAACAAACAGATTTGAAATAAAGTTCTGTTGAGACTTGTCATTTGGTACTTGGAAAACAAAGCTGTTGATGCTTAGCATCTTCATTCTGTAAAAGTGTTTCTGAGTTTCCAGTTATATGTGCTTACTGAAATTCAGAAGACAGAGAGGTAGAATTTATATTATGAATTTGTCATATAACATAAGTCCAGAGATTCTAAATCTTAAATTCAAAAATGAAAAACTGCAGCCAGGATTATAAAAGATATTTTGCATTTTTATTGCACACATCATATAACTTTATTTATTTATACCATGATCTTCGTATACTACCAGTATTTTTTATTAACATTAAAAATGCCTTACTTGTTTGCAACCAAACGCATCACTGTCCAGTCTTTCGGAAACATCTCTGGTCGTATTAGTATCCGAAATACAGTGAAAATCTGCAGCAGGAAATCCTTTGGAAGGAAAAAAAGCAATCATATGTCTTTTCTGCCTTAAAAAGAGCAGTGAGCTTTAAAAATATTTTAATCAGAGACAAAAAAAATCATTATACAAATAGCAGAATGGCATTTATTTTCAACATAGATACACCTCTGAATATTTTTCCATTTTTTTGATTCCCCAAGAAAGCTTCAAATAGTGATTTAATTCATTTTTCTTAAAAGGAGGAAAATAATTTAATGTGCTATTTGATTGACAGCGATGCATAAGAGAAATGTCAAAGATGCATTTGGTTTCCACCCATACACTTCCACAAATGTGATCCCGAGAACAATTTGCAAATCAAAAAAGCACTTTACAAACACTGCAGACTTCTGAATATCTCCTTAATCATGCCAGGTTTTCATCACTTTCAAGATTTATTCTAAAAGTGGCATTATTTGGTGGGAAAGACAGAGAGTGTAAGGACAATTTTATCATAGGGTTTGCAAAGACCAGTGAATTCAATAGCGATGCCCAGGCCCCTGAACTGTTATCGCAGCTGGCTGGCTGTATGCAGGCCATTTAAACATTCTGCCTCGTTTGCTGAACCTAAAAAATAGTGAACACGTCAGCTACTTTGAATGTAGAAAGCACTGCTTAAGAGCTTTTAGCATTATCATCTCCTATGTCATTTAACTCATTATAAATAACGAAATTAAACTATTCCTCTCAGCACATGTTTTTTCAGATTTTCTTTTCACAAATAAAACTACCAACAAGGGAAATATTTCTAATGGCCCAACATTATTGTGTATAGTACTGCCAGTATTTTTTTTTAGCAAGCAAAATGGAGCTTTTGACATCACGAAGAGCATGAGGCAAGTGATATAACATGCCTAACAGAATCAGTGTGGTACCTGACCTTGAAATGTTTTGTATTGATTCTGCCCACATCACTTCTAGAGAGTTAGCCTGAAACACAGATGAGATGAAGATACAACCAAGGGATACCAAATAATTTTGAACATTAAAATATATTCTCAAGTGCATTTACCAAAGTGTAGATGACGGGAATTGCACAACAGATGTCTTTCATTAGAGAATCACTGTAAAGGGGGACGAATGCAGGAGCTGGGAAAGGCAGTTGAGATCCCTGCACCCACCCACCAGAGAAGATTACATAAAAGAGACAACCTGTTTTCTGAGCAAGATGCCAAAAATTTCTCTGTACTAAAGAGTATAAATGATATTCATTGCAGATAACATAGTGTTTGAATGCAGGTGACCAGCTGTACTGATAAACAAGTAGCTCTATGAGCAACGCATTTATTCCAGACCACTTTCCTATATCTTTGCACCTTGTAGTCAAATTTCAACACTTCCACCTGCTCTTCTTTTCTTGAGGGGTTACCTCCTTTCCCTGTACTGCAATCCCTGCATCTCTGTGCCATAATCCCAACAATACAGCAATGCCTCGAATGCTGCTGTACGTCACCTCACAATAATGTCCCAAATTCTCCCATATCCTATTTTTATCCTGCCTGTTTGCCAGACACAATACGTGTTGCTGGTGTTAGGGAGCTAACAGACTGGCTGCTGAACTGAAGAGACACAATGGCTCCTGCTGGGAAACCAAGCAATGGTTTAAGGACTTAAAACCCACGGGCTGCATGAGGTGGGTGCAGGGACTTAGTGCCTTTGAGACCCACGGGCCACTGCCAAAGTCTGCTGAAATTCATTAGCTTGTTCAAAAATCATTAAGAAAGGAATAACAGAGGGGAAGATCATATATACTTCATTTCTTTAGTTAACTAGGCTAAAACCAGAATAAATCTTTTATTCCAAGCAAGTTTTAAAGCAAAGCAAATGTAGACACTGGCATTAAATTTTGAATCATTAACACCAGGCCAATTATTTCTAATTTTAACAGAAAAAATACAAAATTGTGCCACCAATTTAGTGATAAGTAATATTAGATAAAAAATGTGGATTTGAAAAGCCTGAGTAAGACTGAAGATCTCTGTTACAGTACATGTTAAAAATGTATACAGAAAATGCAGTATAATCGGGTCCTGCACTTGGGTCACAACAACCCCATGCAATGCTACAGGCTTGGGGGAGAGTGGCTGGAAACCTGCCTGGCGGAAAAAGACCTGGGGTTGTTGGTCGACAGCTGGCTGAAGATGAGCCAGCAGTGTGCCCAGGTGGCCAAGAAGGCCAACAGCATCCTGGCTTGTATCACGAATAGTGCAGCCAGCAGGACCAGGGAAGTGATCGTCCCCCTGTACTCGGCTCTGGTGAGGCTGCACCTCAAGTACTGTGTTCAGTTTTGGGCCCCTCAGCACAAGAAGAACATTGAGGTGCTGGAGCGCATCCAAAGAAGAGCAACGAGGCTGGTGAAGGGCCTAGAAAACAAGTCTGACGAGGAGTGGCTGAGGCAACTGGGGCTGTTTAGCCTGGAGAAGAGGAGGCTGAGGGGAGACCTTATCCCTCTCTACAAGTACCTGAAAGGAGTTTGTAGTGAGGTGAGCGTTGGTCTCTTTTTCCCAAGTAACAAGATGAGAGGAAATGGCCTCAAGTTGTGCCAGGGGAGGTTTAGCTTGGATATTAGGAAAAATTTATTTACAGAAAGGGTTATCAATCATTGGAACAGGCTGCCCAGGGAAGTGGTTGAGTCACCATCCCTGAAGGGATTTAAAACACGCATAGATGTGGTGCTTAGGGACATGGTTTAGTGGTGGACTTGGCAGTGCTAGGTTAATGGTTGGACTGGATGATCTTAAAGGTCTTTTCCAACAAAAACAATTCAATGATCCTATCTATGATTATATTCTATAATTCAAAGCAGAAATAAAACTGAAAGAAACAGATAACTTATAAAAAACTTTAGAAAAACTAGTCAATTGTAAGATTTTCAAGATACAACTATTAAGCTTCTATTAAGAGAATTAATCTGTAGGTAATTCTTATTTTTCATAATTCAGGTTTTTTATATTTGGTAATACATTTCCCTAGGAAACCATTATAAGCATGAAAATAACCAAAGGGTAAATGCCAGTTGACTAGTCCTATACTCTGCCATTAATGTGCTGGTATCCCTCATGTGTCAGCACTGCTTATCAGTATTCAGTGCCAGTGTTCACTCCCAAGGGACTCACCTCCATGTAACAATTCCATAAAATGTTTTAATCAGCATTACAATGGCTGGCGTTTTGCATGATGCAATTGCTCATTTTTGTGTCATGATCCAAACATCACAAGATATTACTGCGAAGCTCCATTCATGGAAGATCAATTTTGTAACTATATTTTGAACTGTTTCCTTTGCACTAAACTATTGTCTTTCATAGTTGTATCTGCTCTGCTGAACACATCATACTGATTAGTAACAGATTTTAACATTTAAAAAACATTTTTGCCTGCAGTATAAGCGAACTAACATTTGGTTGGTCGAGTACAGATATAATTAATGTCTCATATTCCTTCTATCTTAAGAGACAGCAAGGGAGTAATTTTGTCCTTTTACATACTCTAAATACCATCTCTTAATATTCCTACCTAGTGTACGTGAGCTCTAGTACTATCTTATACCACTTAAATAATATCACGATATCATAGTTCAGTTTCCTCTAGTAGCAATAGTTGCTTGATGAAATTCTCACAGAAGCATGGCCTTCTGAAAGACTGAAAACCATCTACTCATTTAATCGAAAACTGCCTTGGAATTTCTTTCACATTTCCCTGTATGCATGTAAAATCCCCTGTAAAGCAGGTCAGATGCTTCACTGGATGTCTCGGGGTGTATATATGTTAGCATTTTAGTTTGGGTCAACAGTCCACTTTAAAACTAATTGCTTGATCATCCATTGCTTTGGTTCATGCTGCAGAGTTATCAAGCTACTTGCTATCAAGTGTTTGTAGAGCACCCTAGAGATTTTTTGCAGAGTGCCAAGGTGCCCGTAAGAAAGAGAACGGTTTGACAGTGAGCTGTCTCTGCCTGGACAACCCATTCATCCTGTGGTTAACTCCTTTCCCAGATCTTCTTTCCTTCATTGCTTCCTCAATCTACATCAGAAGCCACTCAAATATTTGTTTTAGAGATACCCCTCAGCCCTAGCACTCATCCCTTCAGAAGTCCGATATGTGAGAGGATGTCCCTGCAGAGCAGGGTAAGGATGGTGGCTAGAACTGACCTTCTGCACCAGAGACATTTCCCATGCCTAAGGACCTCATGCAGACAAGGGGTCATTAGAGAACAGTGGAATAAATTGCACTTGGTGGTAGGGTTCAGTTCTCACCTTACTCTGCTCCTTTAGCTGGAAGAGAGGGATCAGAAAACTAGCAATGTTTACACCCTTCCCTATGAAATATTATCTTTTCCTTCATCAGATCTCTCCTGTATATCTATTCTGTCACATTATGTAGGGTACACTGCCAATGGATAAAATCTACACCTTCTGGCAGGTGCTTATCTGTTTGTTTTGTCTTCTTTTAATCTATTAACTAAAAACCCCACACGTACCAACCAAAACCACCTTGCTGTGGTCAAAGCCATATTGTGCTAACATACACTGTGTTTCTCATTCACTTTTCCACTTCTCTCCTCCTATTTATAACTTCCACTGTTGCCTTTTGTCATAAATTATATCTCAGCTTTTTTGCAGCAGCAAATATCCGCCTACAAGGCTGTCTCTGTTCTATAAATTGCTATAAAATATATTTACTAGAAGAAGATGGTATTTTGTGGTAAGCAAAAGGAGCATATCTTTAAAATAATATTGAAAGATAAAAGGAAGCATTTAAAATTACTGCCTCATTAAATTCAATGTTTCAAAAAGTGAGTGAAGTATAGTCTCTGGTGCTACCACTCAGCCATGAATCCCCTGTCATTTCTTTCTTTCTTCATTTGCATGTTTTCAAATATAAAATACTTTTTCTATCTTTTGCTTTGTGTGGAAAAAAACTGACTCTCCTAAAGAAATGACTAAAATAAAAATAGTCACCAAGTCAATTATTTAAACTAAATAAATTTACAAATTAGAGGAAATATTTTCATAAACAACCACTTGTTTAAAGCATCACTCAGATGCATGTTGTAAAAATGTGTTCATGTCATTCCTTCTAAGTCTCCATTTTTGTATACTGTGATTAACAAGCTGGAAACAGTCTTTAATAATTTTGGTATAGACCGTTTAAAAAAAAAAAACAACCTGCAAATATATTTCCATAGAATGAATTACAACCTTCATTCCCTTTTTACAAGTAGTTGCACAACTGAATTTTTGTTTCGAGAATTGGTTTGGTGGGGGTATTTTCTTTGATAGTATCACAAAAGCTGTGCAAACATGCATTCATGCAAGCACTTGACATAGACGCCTTGAGAATTAGTCCGGAAGAAAGAAGAAATACCTTGTGATATCAGTGTGCCTAGCCTAATTGTTCAATATAGATGCTTAATTATGAACAGAGGTAGTCAAAGCCAAAAAGCACAGCAGATAGCAATTCAAAGGCCTGGGTTACACTCGGATAAGTCCCTTGCAAACCCTATATCAGATTTGTAACTTGTAATGTGGTTTAGGGAAGACCCAGTCCATTTTGACATCACTGACCAGGGGGCAAAAAGAGAATTCAAAAATACAGCAAGCTGATGGAGGTTACCACTGAAGCCTAAATCCCACAGTACATACTAGCCACAAGATTAACTACGGCTACTAGTTCAGCCTCTAAAAGCATCTCAGAGAAAAAAGTCTTATCACAGATATTTACACCTTCTGAATCTTCATTTACTCATACTGATGTCATTTCCTATGAAGCATATCTTAAAGCAGTATAAAATACCAAGGAAGTTCCTTGGCAAACAAAGCAGAAAAATAGAGAGGTAAGCGGCAAGATGGTTTAGATAGCCTAAGTCATACACAATCACCTCATGATTAACAGCAGTGTCAGCCTCACACACTAGCTCTCATCTTTCCTCCTTGCTCTCAGTTATACATATTTCAGTGATGTTTGATATTTCCAAGTGAGGGAAAAAAACAATATATAATTTAAGATTCAGAAGAGAAGGAATGCTGCATTAATTATGATCAACCTACTGCCACTGAATCACTGGTGGAGCTGATGCTGATTTGATGAGATCTGAATGGAAATAACAAACTCTGGACTTGAGTTAAGACCTCTATTTTGATAGCTGATGGCACTGGCTACAGCTGCTTTCCATATGTCTCTGTATAATAGTAGGGTATGTGCGTGGGGGGAATACAAATGTGTCAAATCAAACACCATTCAAGCATTAATTCTAGAGATTTTTCACGTTCTAGAAGCAAGAAAGTCTGAATAAACTCAACACTGTATTTTATAGATACATCAAACAGAAATAAAGCTTGAAACCTCTAGGAAATACAAAAATCTAAACCTAGGAATATAGACCTACTCAGAATTCAAACAAAAGGCAAAATATTTTCCATAAAAAATGCCTAGGTTCCCCAACATATACTAAAAATTGCCTAAGGATAGAAACTATGCTAGGTGAAAACAGGTGCTGTAATACTAGTATAAAAACCACCCACCCTATATAACTCCTAGGTAGTACCCTTGATTCAGGATAAAGATAACTTCTCAGCAGCATTTTCTATCTTTCAAGCTCAATATGACCATCTCACTACGAAGAAAAGGCACTCAAGGATAGTATGCTTTCTTCAGAACAGCTCTAAACAGCTATCAGAAACATAAGCAAATCTGAAATTGCACCATAACTAGGCTCTGCTTTTCAGGTTAGCACCTAAATTTATCAAATGGTAATTTGAGAGTAACATCTAAAAATACGCTAACACATTAGGGCATTATTACTCTTCTATCTAGGATCACTGGCTGAAGAATGGGCAAAAGTGATCACTCAAGATTTCCTGTGGATCAAATTTGGTACTATGTAAGTTTCTGCCAGACTGGAAGTCTTAATGTATATCTTTATACAGGAAATCTTGACTTTTAAAATGTTTTTTAAAGAAATCTATCCCCTTCCTCCAAAAAGGAATTAAAAATGTTCCGTCTCCATGAACCTGGTAATTCCATCAATGAAACTGGTAGGAACTGCCCTGAAAGCGTTCTGCAGCTACTCTCTTCCATGATCAAACCGGGCAGATAGACATTACGAGTCTGACAGGTCCCTCCTGCCAATGGACTTGCTGCACAGTTAAGAAAAATGGAGAGTTAGTTGAATATGCATTTCTCAAGCTGTGGGTTTACCACTGCTGTATATAATTTAATGAATGAATGAATAATACATATAATAAAACAAAAAAAAAACCCAAAACAACTGCCTGGCAGGAAGAATCAAGCAGAACTGTGTAATCTTAGACTGCTATCATATTTAAAATATTTTAAGACTAAGGTTATAGCTTTAAAAATATTACATAGTTCCCCCCATCTCTATTCTATCTGTTATTGTAGAAGCAACAAAATCCTAGCCGCACCATAAGAGTGGACCTAAGTACACATGCAAGCCTGTGCAAAAGTTAGGTACTCTGAAAAACAGACTGCCTTTAAATACTGGAGTGTTTCATCAAAGCGTAGGAATATCTTAAAGGGAGACAAATCAAAAAGAGAAATAAAGAACTGAACAAGTGGAAAGACAATTCTGTTACTTACCCTCAGATCTTCCTTTGTGTTGAAGCTATCAAGAAGCTGTTGATAATGTCTATCAGTCATTTGCCGCAAGAGTGACAACAAACAGGAGACAAATTCCCCCTGTTCAGATAAGCCAATAATAGAAATATTATAGATTATAATGTCTTCTGGATTTAAGCTTAAACTGTCATATTACAGGCACTTAAAAGTAATTAAGAAATGCAAGGGAAATTAATCTACAATTAGGGAACTTTATTTCTAGGACTCCATATTTTGTGAAAATATATTCATTTAGCTATGAAATTCCTTCCCATTTAAAGAATTATTTTCCCCCAGATGCAGTTTACATGCTTAGCAAAACCTATTTGAAATAGTTCCAGAAGGGCTAAACCCGTAAAAGTTTGATTTGTGATTTGTTTCCCTTGTATCTGTTTTTAAACAGATTATTTAAGATTGCTAAAATTACAACCTCTTAATCAACTCAGTCTTGAAACAAAAACAAACAAAAATATTTTGTAACAATTCTGGGAAGTATGCTATTGTTTTCCTGTAGGGAAGAAATTAATGGAGTTAGCTGGGAATTTTGTCAAAAAGAAAACTCATTTATAGGATTGAACAAACTTTGAAAACGTTTTAATCGGAAGTTTCCTTGGACCTACAGAGGAATTTTTCATTAAAACATCTAGAAGTTGAACTTAACCATAGGGCAAGACCACTCTCTCCCACAGTGCCGAATCCTGGATTCACACTCCACGCTTCACAAAAGGGATGCTCCAGGCAGCAGCTGAGGGACTTACTGGACTGCGGTGCAGGTTCCTCCCTGCCTCTATTGATGCACATTCACCAGGCTGTCCTTCAAACAGCATGGGATTCCGGAGCAAAAGAGCAGAGAACAGGAGTGGGTATCTCCAGTGAGTGATCAAACGACCCAGACACTATGGGAAGGAATAGGTTCTCCCTCTCTCCCTTCCCTGTCTGCTTGTTCACTTTTGAGCTGGGAGGAAACACTGAATGGTATCAATCTGGTCTGGCTGCAGAGTGAAAGGTCTGGATTGCATCCCAGTGTTTAAAAAGAACAATTCTGAAATCTTACAAGCTTGTTAAAAAGTGGGAAATACACTTCTGGCCTCTATCGACCAGGAATGGGGAATGAGACTGGGAGAACAGACAAGTATGATAATGGTATTTTAAAATGGTGTCTTTCATTAGTTTGTCAAGTCAAATTTTGGGAAGATTTTCCCCTGTCTTTCATTAAAAACAGTAAATAAGATAAAAAAGGAGTATGTTTTGACAGGAATGGCTATTCTGGATTTCACATCGGATGGTCTACTTCACTTGTGATTATATCTTGTATAGTTGGTGGTGTGTGAGGTGATGGCTTTCGTTGGCAATACAGTGATAAAATAATAATTGTCTTGCCCATAATAAGATTTTACACTGAAATAATGATCCCATATTAATTACGTCCCTGCAAAACCATTGTTTTTTACAGTAAACACAGCATTCTCAAAGCAATATCCTAAGGTTACAAAGTCTCTTAATCTTCATGCTCTGGGCATAACCATCAAGGTTACAGCTGCTACCTTGTATATATCTGAAAATTTATTTCCAACACTATCAGGTTGTCTTCAGAAAACAAAAAGACTTTGGTCTATTATCATTATTTTTTAATATTTTCAATTTCATTATATCTAGCCTCAATATGATTTTATCATGCCATTTAGTATAACGTAGGTTCATCTAAATAGGCATAATTTTTGAGGACTTCTATTCCAGTTAGAAAATCTGAGACCACTCAGATTTGACTAATTAGCCAAAATAAGCAGAATAAATAAATAAGGGTGTAAGCTTACCTGATTGCTAGCGTGAGCAACAAAATTTGAGTATGAACCTTGTGAATATTTCCCTTCTTGCTTAAGTATTTTAAGCAGTCCTTTCTAGTCACCTTCCGTGTTCCCACATTTACTTTATAGTAGTATATTAAAAATCACAATTATAGAACGCTGTACTATTATAGTTGACAGATTAGCTTTAAAAGGGTACCAGCTTTAGCTAATTGTTAACTGACTTCTAAATTTGAGCTTGTAATTCAACGTAGGTAGCTGTACAGGCAGCTGGTTTTTAAAATAACAATGAACATTCAGCTGCAGTTGTTGAATTCAACACAAAAATGTATGTTGTAACATTTCTGCCAGTGTTAGCCGCAGACTAACTGGTCAGCGTACGTACAAATTATGCACGAAAGCTAACCCCACACACATAACAACCTTGATAAAAACCATTTAGGATCCAATTCTAGTCAAGCCAAGCAGTATATCCAATTCACTCTAGGTGGAATCCTGAAGTATTTTTTTGTGTCTTATTTAAGGAGCGCAATTATTAAAATACATGGAGCTCACAATTAAATTGCAATTCATTTGGGTTCTGAGGGACTGAACTTCCAAGATCTGTAATCAATAAAGGTTCGCTTTAATTGGATTGCTTTCTGCTAACTCTTTATATGCAAATTGTGTTTCTTGAGGAAATCTAAAGGACTAAATCACTGACATCCTAAAGCAGAAGTTTCACTTTCACCATTGTATTAAATTCAATGTTTGTTAGTGCAACATGTGTAACGCTGACACCATGAAGACATGTCTTTGTGCTCAGTTTAAAATGTCACATCCATCTTGCAGGTTACCATCTAACAAGATTCTTCACTGCAAATTGAAATGGTACCAAGGTACCAAAACTACTTGAGATGAAAGAAACGGTACAGTCATGGCAGCCCAGGTGACTGATGCTGCCTGATTTTATGCTGCTGCTTTGTGCAGAAAGACAGGGTGGGCCTAGAAGATCAAACTGAGATGAGTTTGGGACTACTTCCACAAGGAACACTGTATCTGATGTAAAAGTGTGACAAAATTTTATCCGGTGTGCTGCCATGATACATCTCACAAACAATATTTTATGATATATGCAGCTTGAAATAATGGTAACATACTGGAACAGATTCTACTGCTGTACTCACATTGAGTACTTTATCATACTTGCTCTACAAATAGTTCCAAGAATCTGGCTCTGTGTGTTGCCATAAGCCCGTACTGCATGATGTTTCTACATAAATGTATATAATTGCCTTATGCTGTGAGTCACTTCCACATGAAGTACTCTTTGAGATGCCTGTGGTGACAATGACATGGCTTTTCCGATGCATAAAAAGAAAATTTTTCAACTTTAAAGCACTTTCAGAGTCTAATTTTTGATGGTGTGAAAGAATTAGGCTGTCATGGTGTTTTATGAAAACTTAATCTGCAAGCAAGTCGATATCTCAGAAGAAACCAATAAGCTCGGAGCTTTGCTACACTAACAGTCTAATACTACAACCCTTACTTCAGCTGAGATTTTCTTGTAATGGTCTGATATGCCACACAGTGTACATTTGTAATTTTCTAATTTAAAGAAAAAAACCCCAAACTCTTAGATGTATAGTCCTGCTG